AAAGATTCACCAGTTTATGTTAAATACTGACCAGTAGGTCCAGTTAGAACCTGTTTATATCAGTACACTCAACACAAGATCCATTCTGTTGTCCATATCGGTGCTTGAAATCCTTGAAAATCATTGAATTTGGATTGCTTTTGTCTTCAAGGTTTGGAAAGTTGATTTATATATAAAAAGTGCTTGATGTTCAAACTGCAAAGTGTGTTAATAAAGTGCATGATTTAATCTAACAATTGAGCAAAAGCTTAAATTTGTGTAAAAAAATGTTTTTTACAGCTGAAACCAGATATTTTCATACATCTATTAAACTCACTTTCTCTCTGTTTAATAGATGTGAAATCAGAATAAACTATTCTTGTTTTAGGTCGGTTAGAATCACAGAAATTATATTTTCTAAATTACAGATTTTGTGACTTTCTTTGTCGATTGTGTTTCAGGATTTAATTTGAGGCAGGAAGATTTTTAACTTTAAAACAAATTGTGTGCACTGATTCAGTGTAACGGTTACTATTAGTGCTAATGACTGTGCACTTGACACAAAAAGTTGTCTCATGTTTCATGTTAAGTATTGTGATTGACAGCAGTAAGCTCCGCCTCCTGCGTCTGACTGGTTGTTTCTCGTTAGCATTCGGAGCAGAAGTTTCACAGATTATCTGTTTCATATCAAACTGTAACAACATGGGGACAGTTACAACAAATATGTAAAAAGTTTTTTTTAATAAAACTTACAAACTTCACCTTTAAGGTGGATGTTCAAAGTTTAGAACTGTAAATTCTCCATAAACATCCTGGTTCCTCCTGCAGGTCTTCAAGCCCGTTGTGGAGAAGTTCGGCGTCCATTTTGACTGCGACGTCAGGATGAGGTCTGTCCGCTGACTTTGCCGCCGTCCGGCTGCTGTTTGCTGTCATGGCTGTTGGTTGTCATGGTGACTGTTTGTGCTGCAGGGGCTACTACCCTAAAGGCGGTGGGGAGGTGGCGGTGACGGCCCAGCCGCTCAAGGAGCTGCAGCCCGTCTCCATGATGGACAGAGGAAACATCACGAAGATCCACGGCAGAGCCTTCGTGGCTGGAGTCCTGCCCTTCAAAGTAAAAGCCCCTCTCAGCTGTTTTAAGTCTTTTATTTTGGCTAGCTTTGTCTGTCTGGGCTCACTTCCTGTTCCTGTCTGCAGCTGGCTAAAGACATGTCGGCCGCCGCCGTTCGGACCATCAGGAAGGAAATCAAAGAACTTTACATCAACATCCAAGCGGTGCAGGAGAAGGACAAGGCCTGCGGGAACGGCAACGGCATCATGTAAGCCCCGCCCACCCGCTGAGGTCACAGCACCAGCAGCTCTCTGATTGGTTGCTCTGTTTCAGAATCATTGCAGAGTCATCCACAGGCTGCCTGTTCGCAGGATCGGCTCTGGGAAAGAAAGGTGAGGATGACCAGCAGGGGGCAGCACTGCTTTGTTTATGTCACTGATGACCAGCAGGGGGCAGCACCGCTCTGGAAACCAATCAGGAAAAGCTTGACTTCATGCCAGAGCTGATTTAATATTTTTATCTGTATTTTTTTCACCAATGTACTCCTCCAGAGTTCAGAGTGATGTCAGAACTCCCAGGGCAGCCATCTTGTTTTTTTGAAGTTTGTTTAAATCTTTTATTTATTTGGACATTGAATTTAGGTCAACTCTACAATAAAATATTACAGCTGGGATACTATTTTTGTAATAATAGTTATGTGACCATGACAAAATATTTAGGACCATGTTAAGGAAATAAGTCTTATTACAAGAATAAAGTCAACCAATCAGGTTCCAGGTTTTGCCCCTTGTGACCTCTGACCCGTTGTTTCAGGTGTTTACGCAGATAAAGTGGGGATAGAAGCTGCAGAGATGCTGCTGAGAAACCTCAGACACAACGGCTGCGTGGACGAGTTCCTGCAGGACCAGGTGAGGCTGCGGCACGCCGTGAGGATGATGATGATCATGATGATGTCACTGACCCTTCCTCCTCCTCAGCTCATCATCTTCATGGCGCTGGCGAAGGGAACGTCTAGGATCCGGACCGGCGCCGTGACGCTGCACACGCAGACGGCCATCCACATCGCAGAGCAGCTCACTCAGGTCAGACAGCAGGGGGCAGCACTGAGAAACCCGAGACCAGATCAGAGCTGGAGGCGAGTCAGTGAGGAATGATTCCAGTCTGACCCCAAAAACAGGCGTTTTAGTTTCTAAAAGTAATAAATCACAGATTCTTAATCATTCGCTCACTGAAATGTGAACATGTCAACTACTTGCTGTTTTCAGTTATTTCCTCTGGTTATCGATGCCAAGAAGTTCTGCTCTCACTTTTACATTCAGATAGTTATGATACGTAACTGTGGCAACAAGGGATTGTCCTTATAACCTGGAGCCGCAGTTCAGCATCTGAAAAAATGAAATAATTCCTGAACTATGAGTTGAGAGAGGGAGGATGTTCAAACCATCTCTTCTATCAGAGATTCAAAGAGAAGTGGCAAAAGCAAAGGAGGAGGATTAGCAGTGATGATTTACTGGGGGATATTGAGCCGTTAGCCTGACATCATAAATCTGTCATAAAGCAGCAGTCTTCAGTCAGAGTCCTCTTTAGAGCTTTATAAGAGTGACTGGAGAAGAAGAGTGATTTGTGATTTGAGTTTAAATCTCCCCACATGATGCTGCCACTACCGTACTTCCCTGTGAGGATGGTAGAAACATTTCCTCCAAATGTCTCCAGAAATCATTCTTTCTCCTGGAGTTGCTTTATAATTACAGTAAAAATAAACTTAAATAGGCATTTATTTTGAAACTTAAATTCTCCCTGTTCCTGTTGTGTCTGCAGGCGAAGTTTACAATAACAAAGAGCGAAGACGAGCTGAGCAGCGGCGTCACGTACATCATCGAGTGTCAAGGATCTGGAGTGGTTAACCCCAACCTGTAGCCACACACACACACACACACACACACACACACACACACACACACACACACACACACACACACACACACACACACTCTCTCTCTCTCTCTGCTGGACTTGTAGCTGCTCCTGACTTGGCCGACCCTCTTAGTTTCTGCGCTCAGGGTTTTTTTTGTTTCCTTAATAATGTGATAAAATAATTAAATAAAATTCTTCCAATCAAATTTTCTTTTAATGGTTTTTGTTTCATTTTAAAGATTTTTTTGTTGTTGGGGAAACTGAATGAATGCAGCTGAATTCTGGGTAATGTAGTTTCCTCCAGCTGAGGATGGGAGAACAAAAACAAAGCGTGACCTTTTCCAGACTCCAGCTGCTGGATCAGAACCAGAACTTCCTGTGCCGCCCCGTTTCCGTGGCGTCAGCGGCGCGGTGTCGTGTTGACCTGCTGCAGGTGAGCTGGAGTCCGGCTCGGCGTGTTGAAACCTGAGGCTGCTGTAAGCTCACGCCTCTGTCCTCCTCCGCCACCGGCCGTAACCCGACCCGGGTCGCCGCTGGTACCGCCGAGGCGTCCCGGCTCAGTGTCCTCGCAGTCCGCCGGCCGTCCTGCAGCATGACGGAGACGGGGCCCTGGAGGAGGTACCAGGACCAACCCCGGGTCCCCCAGCCCACACCCGGACCTGGACCCGGACCTGGACCAGCACCGAACCGCGTCTGGATCTCACTGATTGCAGGTCAGTTTTTGCTCATCTGGACTCTGAAACCCTGAAACCTTCAAATCAGAGCAAATTTCCACTTCATCAATTTTTGCTCTGCAGGTTTTACAGGAGCCTGAAATCCTCGAGTTTCAAGTTTTATTTCAATTTTATTTTTCTAAGGTTTATAAAGTGCATAATGTCCTTGAAATAAAAGCTGCTCTGTATATTCATAAAATTCAAAACAATGTTTGGTTAAAAGCATAAATTTGGGAAACTTTAGTTGAAACCAGATACATTTCCCTCCCTTTCTGAGGTTGACCAATTTATTCTCATTTTGGGTCACTTATATTGTCTAAAATTATTTATAAATGCCCAAAAACTGCAAAAAATATTTTTTCAGTTTTTTTTGTTGTTGTAACTTTATGTATTTAATTTGAGCAGGAAGTTCATTTATCTCAACATAATCTGTTGAGATAAATGATTCATTAGAATATTTTATTTAAATTCTCAATATATTAAAAATATTTATCACAAATTCTCTTCAAAAAGATCAAATTAGGAAAAAAACATTTGTTTTGATGACCGGTTCTTGCAGCGAAGCTGCTTTCTCAAAAACTTGGTTCAGATCAGTAAAATATGTATTTAAAAGACTAAATTGAGAGTTAACATGCAACAGTATGTTAACTCGATGTCTGGTTGGGGCTCTTTTTGCAGGAATTACAATTCACATGCAGATATCTATGGTTTAATTATTTCATTTTGTAAAAACGACTTGGAATCGCAGTAATTGCTAAACAGTGATGCTGTCTTTTAATTTTAGTTCTGGTTTAGCAGCAGCTCAGTACAAGTGAGTCAGTAACCATCCCTATTACTGTGTAGGCCATAAATTAATCGATTCATTTCAAGTTTCTGACAAGCTAAATTTTAGGTTTTTCATTTCCTGTTGATGAACAGAAAATGTTTGCAATATGCAGTGGTGTATGTGCTCAATTTGTTATAAATTTGTGAAATAAAATTACTTTGATATTTTATTTTATTTAGATGTACGAGTATAAGACAATTAGAGTAATATTTGAAAATATATATCAATTTTATGAAGAACGTTGCGTTTTTATGAGTATTTGATGGTAAATTTTACAGTGTAGTCATACACAAAGTTAAAAATTCAGTTCAGAATTACGCAACCCGAAAAACACAGTTTTCATTTTTACTGTAAAGCAAGCATTATACAATAAAATGAATTCCCTGGTTTTTCGGGGGTTCCTGTTTTCCTTCCGGGAGTATTTCCCAGTGGACCATGAACGCAGCACATAGTGTTCTGGTCGCTGATTGGCTGCGCTGTCCCGTAGAGCGGCTATCGTTGTTATGGCAACGTATCTTAAGGAGGGATTTGGTCAATCAGAGTTTCAGACTCTCGTCAAGCTTGCGGAGCTTTGACATGCTAATATGCTAATCCGGGCACATGTATCGGGTGAAGGGGGAGAAACAAAACATGAGAAACAATGGGAATAAATTCGCAGTGAACGAGAGGACGCTACATTGACCGATGGGAAGCTGAGGAGGAAGTTTTAAAACTTTTTAAACACGCTGTGTGCGCTTCGCAGCTAGCCCCTCAACGGCCAGAGCTGCTAGCAGTTTGAGAACTTTCTGAAGCCGCCCAGGAGTTAGACGGACCCTTTCTGGAGCTCTCGGCAGGAGCAGAACGAGTGCAGGAATTAGACTTGACTCATGAGCGTGGAGGTGTGAATCGCTCCCCGGTCCTGTCGACCCTGTTCCGGATGGCTGAGGAACGTGAGCCGCGGGGAGCGGCAGAGATGATCAAAGGTAATCAGACTAAACGTCACAAGACTGGGGGATCAATAAACAGCCAAATATAAAACTTGAATTTAAGAAACTCACTTTATAACCTTTTTAACAACCTTTTAAAACTCCCATTTTGATCAACATTTAATTAGTTTGGACTTTTCCTCAAACTTTTAAAGTAAAATGTAATAACGTTAATTACATTAGTATTATTATATATTACTATATTATTATTATATATTAGTATATTATTAATTATGCTCTTTATTTACAGTTGTTTTTTATTTGAAAACAGATTATTTCTGTATTAGTGCTGCCAGATATACTAAAGCAGGACTTTAACAAATATAAGTAAAAGATAAACATCAAAGCAAGTATTCAAGAAAGAAATATTTTGTTAAAAGACTAACTTATGAAAGCATCTGATTTAAGCTTTAAAAATAAAATTATACCCTAATATTGATATTTTAAAGACAAAAAAGTACATATATTTAATTCTAATAAATAATATAATTAAAAATCAATAAGTCCAGACAGAGAAACAGTTTTTCAAATAGAATATTTTGATGTGGGTATAAATCCCACAGCAGGTAATATGTTTGTAAAGTATTTCCAATGACAATGTGTTTACTGTATTATTCTAATCTCCAAATGGCTCAGCAGTTAGAAAAGCATAAAGTATTTTATTTTTTCCCCATCGATAGCTTCCATAGAAGTCAAAGATTGAATATTGTCTCTTGAAACAATATTTTTATAATTATACCTGAATTTATTTAAATTCTTTATTTCTGTTTTTGAATCAAAATGTCTGAAGTTCTTTATTTGCAGGTCAGCTAAACCAATGTGAACCGTTTTAACAAGCTTTCATTGTTAAAGGCCAGGAGCTTCTGGTGGACATTTAATTTGTCTAATTTTGGAGCTGTGAGTTGTTTTTACTTGATCTTTCCCGTCTCTCAGGCTGCAGCTTAGTCATGATGACTACATGAAGTTTTCACAGCCAGTTAAAGCAGTGTGGGAAATCTGGTCTGAACCAAAGTCACTGGTTTGATTTGATGGACAGCAGAAATCCCAGTTGATCCAAAACCAGGTGGATCAACTGGCAGAGAAATGGAAAGGAGTTTATTGAAAAAAAGTTATCAAAAAAATGAAACGATTAGACTCCATTTAATTATCTTTGTATTGTTTCTACAGATGTGGGATTTCATAATTCATTCATTCAACTTAAATAGCATTTTAATTAAGGTTTAATTAATTGTTTTGTTTTGAACATAGGTTTTAAAAAACAACAATCTAAGAATGAAATCCTCTAAATCTTTATTTTCCTTAATCATTTCAGTCCCAGATGAAACATAAACACAACCATCCTAAATTTCCTGTTTCACTGATAAACTGCAACATTTTGTAACGGCAGCAAACGTTTGATGTCACAGAAAAGATCCAAACCAAACTACAACCAATTTTCTACCCAAAATATCTGACATGATGGTCTTATTTCAATTTTCCAGCAGTTTGTCACCTTTTTTACAGAAATGTGTCTTCATATTGTTGTTTTCAATCATCAGGTGGAGGTTTTTTGATCCACAAGTCATTTTACATTTCTAAATGTCATGAATTTGGCTTGATTCAGATTTTCTATCAGTTAACATTTTTCTGTTTCTGCTCTGTCTGCATGAAGCTGCTGTTTATTTGATGCAGAAAAAAATATTTGTGTCTCAACGGAGAGAAATTTTAGAATTTCTGATGCCTTACATATTCAGTTGATTAACATGATAATATCTGTTGTATTATTATCCAGAATAATAACGGACTGAACATTGATCCCTGTGGGACACCACAAGTAACGTCTGACGACTCAATCGTTTACAAATAAAAAATAGAAATAATTTTGGCAATTTTAACTGATATAAAACTGAAGTTTGGTTTGATTTAACTTCAAATTGTAATGGGGGAAAATCAACTTCTGCTTATTTGGCCTGTTGGCTGAACTTTAGTGGATGTTTTATGGTCAGAGGCTGAGATGTGACCAAAGGACAGTCTGGATTTCTGGACATGTTGAATAATAAAACTTTGGAGTCTTGCTGCTGTTTTTGTGTTTCTCCTGATCAGCTTTGTTTTGCCAATCTGTCGACTCATCAGGAAGAAGACAAGGTGTGGGAAAAGGTCGACCTGCTGCCTGTTGAGTCTGAAACATTTAAAAAATATAAGAAAAAAAAGATTAAGAGCTGCTGTGATAACAAAATGACAGAGAATCTCCCTCTGATCCGGTGTTTATTAATCTGAATCTCATCTGGGGACTGTAGTCATAACCATCTGTTTAACTGTAATCTTTATTATGAATGTTTCCCTGCAGACCGTCTGTACTTCGCCACGTTACGCAGCAAACCCAAAAGCACCGTCAACACCCACTACTTCTGCACCGACGACGAGTTTGTCTATGAGAAGTAAGTCTGCCTTCAAACTGCTTTCGCTCATTTACACCACGGCTGCAAATCATTGGATGACCAGAGAAAAGATTTGGGCTTTTGAGCCAAAACTTAAATACATGATATTGGAGACACTTTAAAGGTTAAAAAAGTTGGTTTTCTTTTACATGAGCCAACTTTCTTCTTCTGTTTCGCTGCTAATGTTTAGTTTTGTTTTCCTGAAAGTGATGAAATGTTGAACTTGTGACTCGTTACTCCTGAGTTATGACTGAATCAATCAGTTTGATTTCTTTATCAGAAGCCAAAAGTTTGAGGTTGAGTGATTTCATGTCCAGATTTATTTCTCTGTTGGAGGTTTTGTGTTTAATATCTGGTGATTTAATCTCTGTTTATCTGTTCTTCCTGCTTCGGGTCTTTTAATCACATAAAAACATGGAATATTAATTCGTTTGAGAAAATGAGTTTCAGATTCCTTCCAGCTTCACAAGTCAGACAACAAGCTTTGTGTTAAACCAGTGGCGTTTAAACCTTTGGGACAAAGATGTCAGGTTGGAAGAACTGTGGCAGCCACAACATCTTTAGTATTTTTTTATTTTTAATCATACTTGCAAAAATAGTTTTATTTTTATTTTTAATTGATGTTGTTCCTGAACTGTGATCAAATGACCCCAGACATCCTCTGTGTGTTGCATGATAATGCAGGTTTTTCCTCCCTAATGCCACTAAACCTTAATGTTGTAAGAAAAAAAACATAATTTAAACATCCAGAATTAAACAAACAAAAATGATTTAAAAAAAGTAAAACTGGAACTTTAAATAAAATGGATTTGGAAACAAAATCCATTTTTGTTTCCAAATCAAACACAAATGGTTTGTTTGATTTGAGTTAATCACTTGATAATTAACTCAGTTAATCATCATGTGATTAACTGAGTTATTATGACATCATGCAGCTTCCAGGCTGAGTGAAAATAAATGTAAACAGAAGGAATATTTTAATATTTTTCAGCATTTTTCAGTAAAGAACGTTTTTCCGTCAGACGTTCCAGCTGCGTTTAGATGGTTGTGAAACCTTCCCACACGCAGGAAGTATTTCTGGACTTGCAGTGGGGATTATCAGTGTTACTTCCTGTTTCCTGTCTGCGGACCTCGGCGTGGCCTCATGCTGTTTCTCTCGTGTTTCTGCCCAGTTTCTACGCAGACTTCGGGCCGCTGAACCTGGCCATGCTGTACCGATACTGCTGCAAGCTCAACAAGAAGCTGAAGGTGAGTTTCTCTGCTGCTGATCCTCCCTCTGCAGGAATGTCCTGAATGCGGCGCGGAGCGATGGGAGCGTGACGCAACCTCTCACTGAGACACCGTTAAACACGCTTCCTCTGTGTTTGTGTGGGTTGCCATGGCGTCCGGATTCCTCGGGCGACCGGACGGTCCGGATCGGCGTGACTTTCTCCGAGTCGGATCGTGTTTCATCACAAGCTGACGGAGGATCTGGGTTCACCTGCAGCTGGTTCCCATTTGAACCAGTCTGACTCACTGGGGGCTGATGTCACTCACTGCTCTGAACTCCTAAAGAGCTAAAAATAAAAACACAAATGTTGCATAACTTTTAGTAAAACACAACTTTGACATTTTTCATAATCTGATTTGTGGTCATTTCATAAAAAGATTTAAAAACAAAGAAAAACATTTTAAAAATGTAGGAAATTATTGATATTTTAAGGTTTATTTTCCATCCATCTTCTGCTCAGCGTTGACCCCAGTGGGTCGGGAGGTGCTGGTGCCTCTGCGTTCACCCTGGACAGGTCGCCAGCCTGTCGCAGGGCAACACGGAAACAAACAGGACAAACACACACACACACACACACACACACACACACACCTAGAGACAATGTAGAGAGACAGTCGTGTTTGGATTGGGAGGAAGCCGGAGTACCCAGAGAGAACCCACCATGCACAGGGAGAACAAACTCCATGCAGAAAGACCCGGGCCGGGAATCGAACCCAGGACCTTCTTGCTGGAAGGCAATAAAATACAATAAATAAATCAAGTTTCTTTGTTTATTTCAGCTATAGAGCAAGTCAAAGGGTAAAAAACAATAAAACCTTAAAGTCTTCACTCTTTGGCAGCTGAAATCAAATGCTTGCCACACTTTTCAGAACTTTATTACTAAGAACAATACTGGAACCAGCATTGCTGCAGTGCATAGTGTTAAGTTATTATTTGGGATCTAATGAGCTCCTGCTGGTGCTGCCGGGCGGATCCGGGTCCAGCGCGTTCATCGCGGAGCCTCTAATGAGAAAACGGAGGCAGCTGACGCTCTCGCAGGCGTCTGAGAGAATCTGCAGCTCGCCGTTTCCTCTGATTCAGCCGCTGCAGTTTGACCCGACCGGCTTTAATTCAGTCATCATTTCACACATTCATCACGCACAGAAAACGCTCGGCGTCTGTTTGAGTGACTGTGTTTGTGTTTCTGTGCAGTCGTTCACGCTGACCAGGAAGAGAATCGTTCACTACACCAGCTTCGACCAGAGGAAGCGCGCCAACGCCGCGGTGCTGATCGGCGGCTACGCCGTGAGTCTGACTCTCAGCACATCCACCTTCACTTTAGAAACAGGAGAAAAAACACTTTGAACCACTGCTGGTTGTTTATAACAACAAGAATATCACGATTTTATGAAAAAAACCAAACTCTCATTTCTCTTCCATTTTGCTCTGTAAAGCTTTGAGTTTTGACCAAAGATGATTCAATATTTTCAGAGTTATATTATTTAACCCCGAGCAGAGCTGATGAAACTCATCTGTTTTTGTAGGATGTTTGTTTCCAGCTGCATGCGTCGCTACAGGCTGCATGCTAACTGCTTAGCTTTGACGTTTACACAACCATCTACAGAAAACAATTCAGTTATTCAACCCAGATTACATAATGTAATCCAAGACTCTTCAAACCATTGTTGCTGTTGATGGATCTCCAGTAGCAGTCAGTACCGCACCGACTCTAAATATGCCTCTGACTGAACACAGTCAGTATAACAGTATCATCACTGCAGTGACTGCAGAATATATTCAGAATATCCAAAATAAATAAAAACAACAAATCAAATGAATCAAAGTCACAAAATTATCCTTCAAAACAAGAAGCTGGTTGAGACCAAAACATCAGAAGATTTAAACATCCAATTTTTGGTAAAAAGAGAAAAAACCCACAAATGAAATGATTCAGCCTATTTTAATTGATCATGTGATTAATTAATTTATTGATTTATTGGGATCTTTATTCAATGTTCAATCCAATATTTCTACATTGAATGATCCGTTCTGCTTTCCATTTAGTTCTGGTTTTGTTGGACTCTCGTTCAGGATTTTCTAGTTCTGGAGTCCCAGTCCAGTCTGGAAGATCCAGAACCAGAAACGCAGCTGGTTCTGGATCTGGTCCAGAACTCTGCAGGTGGGACGGTATAAGCACACACTCTCTCCTGCTGTGTTTCGCACGTTGAATATTTGATGGCGCTGAAACAAAAGGTGATTGTGTTCACGGAGCAGCTTCTGGCTCCGACACAATCAGACCGGGTCAAACCCGGCCAGAACCGCAACAATAAGAGTTCTCCATATTTTCTGATGCAGAACAGTTTCCATGCTTTTCTCTAAGATGGCATTGAAGTTCATCCAGAACCTCCAGATAATCAGAAATGTTTCCCTTAAAATGTGTGTGAAACTTTGTCAATCAGCAATAAATCAATAAATCAGCTAATCGCATGTTTTCCTCTTTTCTCTCTTTCTACCAAAAACTGGATGATAACGTTTGCAATAACTTGTGGGACAATTTGGGACGCTAAGATAAAAAAACAAACACAATTTCCTTTAAATGAAAAACACAATGTAAGTAAGATTATTTACACAATAAGTTGTTACTAAACAAGCTGCTCCATCATCATCTTTGTCGTTTCCTCCAGTAGTAACATCCAGTTGTTGATCAGCTGACTCTTATGATGCTAAAAAAATGGTTTTAATTGCAGTTTTATGAAATAAACCAATTTCCACCTCATCCGAAGCTTCCACCATAAAATGTAAACTTTTCCAAACTGTCGTGTTTCCTGGTGTAGCCGCTCCGTCTCCCTTTCTGGGTTTGTGTCACCATGTTTTCCTTCCTGCAGGTGATTTACCTGAAGAAGACTCCAGAGGAAGCCTTCAGAGCGCTGAACTCCGGCTCCAACGCCGCCTACCTGCCCTTCAGGTGAGTCACTGTCTCATTATTGTTTTCTGTTATTAATTTGCATATTTAATCGTTGTTCTTAGTTTGTTTTTCTTAGATAGTTTTTTTATTAGCTCATTGTCGGAGCCGTACAGCATGTTGCCATAGATTTTTAATCAAAACCTTTATTTTTATCCCAATAAATCCAAATTATATCCTGAAAACCTTTAGGTCCATCAGAATCTCTGCAGGTTCTGAATGTTTGTCTGTAAAACATTTAAATAACGTGGTTAAAGATTTCATTGATGACTTTTCATCCTCCAGTTGCACTAAAATTCAGTTTTAAGCTCCTTTTGTTGTTCTTGAGAGATTTATGATTAATCTGCTGGCGTTTATTAACAGGAGTTGATGGTTGCAGGATGTTTGCAGGATTCAGAGGTGAATGTTTAGTTGTTCTGGTTCAGCTGATTATAGTGAACATGAACTGAACTTTAAAAGTTGACCAAACAAGGCAACTTCAGAGGGAGGAAGTGATTCCTGCTGCGTGTTGTGAGAATTTGAAGGTTTTTTAAAGCTTTATGGTGAGTTTATCGGGTCAGATCTCCCTGAAAGAGCGGAAATGTTCCAGCTCCAGTTTCCTTCTGCCTGCTTGTTTCTGCAGCATCTCACAGTAAAAACCCATAAGTTTAAAACAATAATTTCATCTAAAAACAGAAACAAAACAGGCAGGAATGTCTTCATGCTGCCCAGAACCAGAACCAGAACCAGCGTCCAGCCTAAACATGGGAGCTCTGATGGCCGACGCTCGGCTGGCAGCAGCAGAGGAAATATTTACCCCCAGAATCACTTTTCAAGCCGATGACATCATCAGACTTCCTGTCCTGGCAGGAACTTCTGATAAAAGCTGGAGGAGGAAACTGAGTCCAGTTCCACCAGTAAACGGTTCTGACTGGAAGAACTGGAGTTCAAGCTTCTGTCACCGCTGACCCAAACAGAGGAGCGCAGCCTGTGTGTCTGTGTGTCTGTGTGTGTGTGTGTGTTTGTGTGTCTGTGTGTGTGTGTGTTTGTGTGTCTGTGTGTGTGTTTTGTGTGTGTGTCTGTGTGTGTGTGTGTCTGTGTGTGTGTGTGTCTGTGTGTGTGTGTTTGTGTGTGTGTCTGGGTGTGTGTGTGTGTGTGTGTGTGTTTGTGTGTGTGTCTGGGTGTGTGTGTGTGTCTGTGTGTGTGTGTCTGTGTGTGTGTGTGTCTGTGTGGTGTCTGTGTGTGTGTGTGTGACAGATAAAGGGCTTTTTGTTGCCATCAACGCACTGCGCGGTTACATAACAGCAGAGCCGCTGAAAGGAGGAAGACTTTGTTCTTCTGTCGGCCTCATGAGGCTCTGATGGATTAAACATGATGCAGACAGGCCACGCCCCCCGAGCGAGGCCTTCACTGACCACACGGAAAATAACCGCTAGGCTTCCTGATCCCCCCAGATCCTGTTAGTGACATAAAATTTGTTTTTCCTCAAATAGGAACCCAAAAACAACCAAATCTGGACTTTACTGACTGAGAAAGTTCTGGTTCTCCTTTCTTAGGCTAAGATCCGTTTTCTCAAGTTGTTTCCAAACAATTCAAAGCTTTATCACAGTAAACATTTCTGACATAAAATTTAAGAATTGGATGCATGTGATGGATAAAAATCCTTGACAGATTGAGACCAAAACAAGTCTCAATCTGTAGACCAAAGAAAGTTTCTGTAAAACTGGCAACAGGTTCTGGAGTTTAAACCCGTCCAATCAGCTCGTCTTTAACAGGGAGTCCACAAATAAATGGATCTAAAGACGTAAAAATGTCTTAAATTCACTTAAAAATGTAAATTGTCCTTGAGTGCATTAATCCCAGGTCTTAAATTGTATTTTTTCAGGACTTTTTAATTGCATATTTAGTTTTTATTAGTCACAGGATTTTCTGTCAGGCAAACATTTGGGTCGCACGCAGACATCTTCATTAGGTCTCCGAGTTGAAGTGGTTTAGGCTGTCGCTAACTAGCTGCTAATGTACCCATGCTAACTAGCTAACTAGCCTTTGGGATAAATGCGACAAATTTTCCTGATGCAAAGCCACATAATAATCTGCAGAAACAGATGTGATCAGTTTTTTTCATCTCGCCAACAAACTGGATTATTTTGGGTTTTTTTCCGTTAGCATGAAGCTTCCTGATTCAGGTCATTCCTTCAGCTCTGCAGGAAGTCTCAGTCAAACGTTGTAAAGTCAATATGAGGTTTGACAGGAAGTGAGGATCCAACAGCCTGATCGACCAGTCGTCCATGTCTTTATTTAACTAAAATCAACTCATCTGAATCTTTACTGACGCTTTGTGTCTCTGCAGGGACGCCTCCTTTGGGAATTGCACCTACAACCTCACAGTGCTGGACTGTCTGCAGGGAATCAGGAAGGTGAGATCAGAGGCCACCAGAAATGTTTATACTGTGAGATCAGATGTTGTTAAGCAGAGATCCAACAAATGACTCCAGAGGAAACGGGAAGCAGTCTGAAACGGGAAGCAGTCTGAAACGGGAAGCAGTCTGAAACTGGAAGCAGTCTGAAACGGGAAGCAGTCTGAAACTGGAAGCAGTCTGAAAAGGGAAGCAGTCGGAAACGGGAAGCAGTCGGAAACGGGAAGCAGTCTGAAACTGGAAGCAGTCGGAAACGGGAAGCAGTCTGAAACGGGAAGCAGTCGGAAACGGGAAGCCGTCTGAAACGGGAAGCAGTCTGAAACGGGAAGCAGACGGAAACGGGAAGCAGACGGAAACGGGAAGCAGACGGAAACGGGAAGCCGTCGGAAACGGGAAGCAGTCTGAAACGGGAAGCCATCTGAAACGGGAAGCCGTCGGAAACGGGAGGCATTCTGAAACGGGAGGCATTCTGGAAAACTCACAGCTGCAGATTATTGTTGCATTATGGCTCAGCGTGTTGAAGAGCTGCTGAACCGCAGCCAATCAGAGGCCGGCAGTTAATCAGTCAGAAGTGTGAGTAATCAATCATTGAGAGTGATTATGTGAAACTGGGATCTGGTGCTGCAGACTCTGCAGAGAAAAGACTTTAAATCTGCTGCTGCTCTTTAACTTCCTTCACATCGTTCTGGTTGATCAATAATTCAGGATTTCTGAAGGATTTTTGTTTTTTTCAATTTTGACTTCATCATGTGGGTTATCAATTATCAGTCATGCTGGTCAAAGGCATCGACACAAAAATCTTTACTTTCATCTGTTTCCCACTGATTAGATATCAGTAATTAACTCTCATGTATTGTTTTTAAATGTGATTCTTCATTATCTGCTTGCAAATAATGTAAAAGCATCTGAAGACGTTTTCATTTGTCACTGAACCTGGTGAAGAAGAAGTTTAGATTTTTTTTTCTCGCCACTTCCTGCTTTACAAAATGGAAACTAAAATGGAGGTGTCAGATTTTAGCGGTTGGAGGATTTCTCTTTAGTCTTTGGCTAAAAACCAGGAGACATTTCTGCTGCTAGCGCTAGGCTAACATGTTAGCTTTGGCTGTATTTACCCAGAATGCCCAGAGTCAGAGTTCAGTTCAACCGAAGCTGGGTTTAATTTGTCTGCGTTTGGTCGGATTAATTAGTCCATCTGGGATCAGGTGTTGTCTCACCTGGACCTGCTGCAGGTGTGTCTGCATGTCTGGCTGCATATTAATGATTTCAGTCCGGCTTAAACGGTTTTAAACATCAGGATCAAACGCCGCGGTGTGAGGAAATAACCCGTCTGTCACCTTTAGCACAGGAGATGAATCTGTTGATCATGTAATTAACAAAAACAAACTGTTTTCATCGTCTCCAGGCTTTGCAGCACGGCTTCTTTGACTTTGAGACGTTTGATGTGGACGAATACGAACATTACGAGGTAAAACCAGTAAGACCAGCCACTGCTTTAATGGTTTGAAAACAGGTTAACTGGGAACATTTAATTTGAAGGGGCAGAAGACTGACATAACTCCGCCATAAACAAGAAGGAGTCTCCTTGAAAGTTTACGACTGTTTTCATAAAGTTTCATTTGGTAAAAAATGAACCTCTTAAATCAGAGTAGCATTAAAAGTTTCATTATTTACAGAGAAACATTCATCTCAGTGATAAACATAAAGACTCCTTTGTGTTATGTCAGTCTTTAAATAAATAAATCTAGTTGGGTAGTAACTAGTTACATTTACTCAAGTAACATTTTTGAAAATTAGGAGTATTGTTATGCTGCACGTTTTACTTTTTCTTGAGTAAAATTTCTGGATTTTTAACCAAAACTTAACCAGACACAAACCTGCAGTTTTAATTAAAGTTTCTGAAGTTTTTATATGGAAAGAAACTGATTGGGAAAATGTTTCTTTTTCCTGATTTTGTTATTTTTTTGTTGCTTAAATGAATTATTGTTATTTTGGTCCTGATAATACCTAAATTTCTCCTTAATTTTATAATTTGGTACGTCTGAATATGTCATTTTTAAATATTAAATGATTGATCATTTGATCTGGTACTCAGTACTTGAGTAGATTTTTAACCAAATATTTATTTAGTAGAGTTTAATTTCCGATATTCTGCTCTGCACCTGAATGAGAGAAACTTAGAAACTTGGACTGTGGTGCCCTCTTCTGGAGAACCGGAGTAGTTTCACCTTAGCAGAACTAAATTAAAACAAGCCTGAGTTAAACTAGTGACAGTTGTGTTTCCCTGCCTGAAATCGTGTAAACTCTCTGTGTCTGCAGCGCGTCGAGAACGGAGACCTGAACTGGATCGTCCCGGGAAAGTTTCTGGCCTTCAGCGGACCGCATCCCAAATCCAGGATAGAAAACGGTATGTGAACAAATGCAGGCTGTTTTCTTTGCATATTTCATGAAAAACACAGCATTACATTCCACTCAGTATTATTTCACTGACAGGTTACAAACTCCATCCTGCAGCAGCTGTTTTTTTTTTATTTTTATAAAAACCTTTCCTAGTTTAAACAGTACAGATTTTCCCAGGATGCATGGCGGTGATTATGTTCTGTTAAGGTTAACACCTGTTGAACATACTTAATAAAGACAGAAAAGACAAACAGAGTCGGTATTCTTGCTACTCGCGAGGAGAACGGACAGAGATGTGCTTCAGTCACAATCTCCTGCCGCTCTGAAGCACATTTGTCCGCTCCTCACTTTTATTGTTTCAGGATCCCTAATCACAAGGACGCTGCAGCTCCAAAGGGAGGGGAAAACAATTCATCACATAGCTACAGCGCCAGTTGTCATTTACTAACTACTACACAAATTATCCTGGACTAGATAATCTCGTTCCTGACACAAAGTCTAGCAGAATATGCTGTGATTCTTCACAGTGTCAGTTTTATAGCATTCCAGCAACTCAGCGAACCAAAGCTCTTCACCAAAAGATAACCTTTCAGGAAAACACTATCTCTGCTTTCCATCAGTAAGGCCTTCTGAGAAAGGGATCAGAGCAAATCAACAATACAAGAAACATTCATTATTCTATAATGAGATTAACTTAAAGGAAAGCATAAAATAAAGATACATTATAAAGATCAATGAGAATAACAAATATTTGATTAATTATATCACAATTTCTCCAACATGTTCCCTCCCTTCGTTGCATCAGGTTAACTTTGCTCTTGTGTTGCACATGGCCCCATTTGTTCTAACTCAGATTCTAAAACTTTCAGAGACGCCAAATTAGTGAGAAAAGTAAATTTTCCACTCCTGCACGTCCCAGCTGAAGTTTTCCAGATGATTTCAGAAAGTCGTAATGACAGACGATATGTTAGAACGACGCTCTGCCCCCTGCAGGTTACCCTCTGCACGCGCCTGAGGCTTACTTCCCCTACTTCAGGAAGCACGGCGTGACCACCATCATCCGCCTGAACAAGAAGATCTACGACGGAAAGCGCTTCACCAACGCCGGCTTCGACCACTACGACCTCTTCTTCATCGACGGCAGCACACCCAACGACACCATCGTACGGCGCTTCCTGCACGTCTGTGAGACCGCGCAAGGAGCCGTGGCCGTCCACTGCAAGGGTAGGCCTCTTACTGGGAGCCGTAGTTCCCAGAGTAGCCAGCAGGGGGCGGGCTTTGCCTGGGAAAGGTTTGTAGGATGAGGACAGAGGTAAAAAATGTTCTTCTGTTTTTAGCTTCCAGTGAGAATGAGCAGAAAGAAGGAGTGAAATAAAACGACATGAGGGTTTTGGGCTGTTGCTCAGCCTGGATACTGAGGCAGGAAGTAGAAACAAACGGCACATGGTTTCTTTTAGCTGGCGCCTGGTCCGTTTTTGGCCCAGTTATAACTTTATGGGCCCCATTGGTGACCTTTTGTGACCTTTTTGGCCGCATTAGTGACCTATGTGCTCGCATTTATAACATTGTTGACTCCATTTAATGGCCTTAACTTCCTGATTAGTGACCATTTCAGCTTTATTATTATTATTGGTGACCTTTTCATTTTCAATTTGGGTCGAAACAATCATTCCTGTATAAATGTTTTATTGTCACATTCTGTTGTTTTGAGCAAATGGATGAATAAAACCAGATTCCTGTTTCCCCTGGTGGGAACAGATCCAGGTCGGCTTCCTGGTTGGTTCAGGCTGTTCGGCTAAACTAAGCTAATTGTTGTCAACTGCTGGGCAAACACTCAGGCCCGTCACACTCACAAACTTTGCTGGACGATAAATTGTCCCAGACGTTATTGCAACAAATGATAATATTGTAATTCTGGTGTCTCATTTACTTCTCCATGTTTGCTTCATATCTGGATGATTCTCAGAAATAACTTTGGGTCCTTTCCAAACATCCAGTGATGCTGTTTCTCATCGTTTCTTGGGAGGCTTTTTAAGATCCTTAAAGCATTATAAATTTATTTTAAAAAGCAAGTTGCCCTAAAATACTTTAATCACAAGTCTTAAATGTTTACTATTTAATCATGTGAAGCCAATGTAATTTTTAAACTGGGTTTGTTCTGGAACGGGTTTTTCTGTTTTGTTTTTCTGCTCGGGTGATGATCTGCTGCTCGGTTCTGTCGGTTCTGATCCAAACGGCTCAGATTTGTTGCTGCTGTTTCTGTTGCAGCTGGTCTGGGCAGAACCGGCACTCTGATTGGCTGCTACCTGATGAAACACTACCGCTTCACCGCCGCCGAGGCCATCGCCTGGATCCGGATCTGCAGGCCCGGTTCCATCATCGGGCCGCAGCAGAACTTCCTGGAAGAGTGAGTTTCTGCTGGTTTGTTCAGTTTCAACTTTCAGGAGAAAAAATGCACAGAATGAACGAGAATCGTGCAGATTTAGCATCAATGTGGATCATATTTATGTCTCATTGAGGAATAAATCAGTTAACTGCATGAGAAATTAAAATGAGCTCAAGATTCCTGCTGTTTATCTTCTGCATGTTAACCTGGCTGGGAAACCGCAGAGGGAAAGTTCAGAACCAGAAACGTCCGCAATGAGCTCAGCTGCTGATTTACAATGAATCTCAGATCTGATGAGCTTCTTAATTTGAGTCCAGAATGGAGGAACTGCAGCTGCGGCCGGAGCGTCCGCTACACAAACAGCTGCAGCTTTTCAGCATCAATGATTATTGTTTCAAATATCCAGCATACGGCCAAACTGGTGACGACACATTTCCTCTTTCATCCATTATTTCTTCATGAACGGTTCCATTCCTTTCCACCAGATTACACAACATGAACCCAGTTAGAACCAGGAACAAAATGTAAGACACAGACGTTGAGAACTGGTGAAGAGATGGACTCTTCCTCGCAGGGGTTCAGCACAACTCACATTTGGAGGCCTTAGTCCTCGACGCAGCGGTCGCAGGTTCGATTCCCGGCCTGGCGAGCTTTGCTGCATGTCTTTCCCCTTCTCTAATTACCCACTTTCCTGTCAAATAAAGGAGACGCAGCGTTTCTCACATGAAAAACGAGCAGAAGTGAAATCAGGAAAACAATGACAGAGCCGAACATGTTGCACCTCCTGATTGCTGCTAACATAACATTCTGGGAAGCCAGAACCTCCATCAGGTCCGGTTTGTGTTCTGGAGCAGAATTTCCTCCAGATATGAAAACCCTGAGCAGAAATGGGAAGCAGCAACAAGAAGGAAGATTCTGTCTGATAAATCCTGTTAATCTCAGTTTCCCTATGTCAGAACTTATGAAATAAATGTACTTCCATCTTGAACAAGTCATTTATTTACATCTCAGCTCCAACAATGAGCTGTTGGCTAAATGTGTAAATGTTTCCTCTGGCCTTTTACAGCTGCTGTTGATTAAAACGTCATCCAGAGGTCATAAGGTCGTCTTTTAAACCTCATCCTGAGTGTGATCTGTGTTCACAGCAAGCAGGCGTCTCTGTGGCTGCAAAGCCCGCACACTCTGAAGGGAAGACCTGAGGACAACACGACGCATCTCATCAACGGCCTGGACGAGCTGTCGCTAGGCTCCGCCCACAACTTCCTCCGACCGGCGAGCGCCGACCATCTGCAGGAGGTTAGACACACAAACCGCACCGTTCCATCGGCCCGACGGAAAACCTAAACCTCAGCTTTGTTTGGTTCGTCTTTGATGCATCGCTGCAGATCCGCCAGGTTGGGCCTGAAACAATTCATCGCATTACATGAGGTTAATCGGTTCACTGAAATAATCAACTAATTGAGGAATCGATTAATTGCTAACTGGAGCACACAAACTCAAAAAAGGTTCGTTTTGAGAGCGGTGATTTGGCCAAAACGATTTTTTAAAGCGTTAATTTATTCTGTGGTCCTTTGGAAAAAATAACAATAGAAGCAGAACATTTAGCCAAGATAGTGCAATTATTTAAAGGCAGATTTTAAAGGCAACACAAACTCTTTGTGTTGCCTCTTACATCCAGGACTTAAAAAGTCTCAACTTCTAAAATAAACACCTTGATCTTTTCTTAAATTCCCTTTAAAACACATAAAAGTTGGCCTTAAGTCCCTTCATCACAGGTTTTGTCGTAGCAGGACTATTTAATCTGGTATACTCTATGTAGGTTTTTCTCCTCGCAGGACTTTTCTGTCAGGCAAAAGTTTCAGTCACCCGCAGACATCCTCATTGAACTCTGTGACTCGAGGCAGTTGAGGCTACTGGTAAGTAGCTGCTAACGTACACCAGCTAACTAGCCGGCTTTTGTTTGTTTGCATCCATTGTGCAAATTTATGGCCGTTTGTCTGGATGCCGTTCGTCTTCAACCCCGGCGAACTTCTGTTACTGACCCAGGAGATGCAGCTCGGCGCTGCGGGAGTTCAGGCTGAGGAGAGCAAAATCAGATTGTTTTCATGCCTGATCCGATTCTAATCAGGCATGATGCAGCCAAAGTCCTCCAAAACAATGTCTGCAGAGTATTTTATCAGAAATGTTCAGAAAGTAGCGATGCACCGATCAGCTTTCTTCACTTCCGATATCTGAGGTCTGGTATCAGCCGATCAAGTACAGAAAACCAGCTGAATTAACTAAAAACGTTTCTGTTTTAAAATGCAGAAATAAATGTATTGAATTACAAATTTATCTGTAACTCTGCTCCAGTCCAGCTCAATTAAACCCACCAACAGCTTCACCAGTTCAGTCAAACATGTAGAAACAACTTTAGTTTGTTCAGTCGGTGAAATCAAATAAACGACAAAGAAACTGAAACGGTTGAAAAGGTTGACGTCCTTTGAAAACATGTCAAAATAAACTGCATCAAACCTTCAGATGGTTCAGTTCAGAGTTTTAAGATGATGTAAAATAAATGACCAGGCCTCTCAGTGATGCCTCTCAGAGTAAAATAGATCCGCCCTTGCAGATCAGGCCTGACCTAGAATTGTTTTAGTTTTGGGATCGGTACAGATATTGATATTGGATCTGTGCCTTTCTAGCAGAAACCGTGAATATTGCAGCTCATCTACAGAAATGTTCAGATCTTTGTTGGTGAACAGAAACAGGAAAACTCCAGAACGTCTCTAACAAAAGCATTTTTATTATTTTCTGTTCTCCATCTGTTTCCTGTTTAACCCGTCGCCTCACAGGAGCGCTTGTTTTCTCCTCCAGGGTGACATTACAGACGGTTCGGGTCTGACGCAGGGCGACAAACTCCGAGCCCTGAAGAGCCGCCGCCACCCTCGCCCGTCTGTGAGCGGAGGAGCTGTGAGGTACAGGACTGAACTTTGACCCCAGGCTGGGGTTCGTTGAGCTGCTTTTAGATTAGATGCTTTCTGCATCGACGTGTCACCGGATTGGACGTTGTTTTGTTGCAGGTTTGAGGAGGCAAAGACCCACCATCGGCCCAGCTCACCGGCGCTCCGGTACGACACTGACGGGTCTGCTTGGTGGAATCAATGACGCATGCAACTATTGATCATCATTTTGTGTTTTATTTACTTTCAGGTTATCCAAAGGGAGAAGTCAAAGTCCCGCCTCGATCCTCAAGCCCTCCAAACTCCCAGCAACCTCTGCTTCTCCTGCTGCCAAGAGGATCGGGAGGAACTCGTTATCGCCGATGTCAAACATCCGAAGGTCAGAACTTCCTGCTGCTCTTCATCGTGCTTTACTCCTCTTTGTCACTCGTATCACTGTTCACTACAAACCTGCTGCTCATCATCAGGCGTCTTCTTCTTCTCTTCCTGCTGATCGCTGTGAACAGGAAGTCATTTAAACGGTTGGAAATTTAAAAAGCAGCTAAACCCCAAATCAACGTTTTATTGGAGATTAACTATGAAGTGATTGTTCTGTTTTTGTGTTTCTGTGCAAATTTTCACCTTTTTGTGTAAATTTGTCCTGCAATGTTTTAGCCAAACCGTCTCAGTGCTGCCCTCCTTTGGTGAATCAGAGAATTTTCCTGTTGGCTGCAGCAGTGCAGCTCGGTTAGCGTTTATGACTCGGTTAGCGTTTATGACTCGGTTAGCGTTCACGACTCGGTTAGCGTTCACGACTCGGTTAGCGTTCACGACTCGGTTAGCCTTCATGACTCGGTTAGCCTTCATGACTGGGTTAGCGTTCACGACTTGGTTAGCGTTCACGACTTGGTTAGCGTTCACGACTTGGTTAGCCTTCACGACTCGGTTAGCGTTCACGGCTCGGTTAACCTTCACGACTCGGTTAGCCTTCACGACTCGGTTAGCCTTCACGACTCGGTTAGCCTTCATGACTCGGTTAGCCTTCAGGACTCGGTTAGCCTTCACGACTCGGTTAGCCTTCACGACTCGGTTAGCCTTCACGACTCGGTTAGCCTTCACGACTCGGTTAGCCTTCATGACTCGGTTAGCCTTCACGACTCGGTTAGCGTTCACGACTCGGTTAGCCTTCACGACTCGGTTAGCCTTCACGACTCGGTTAGCCTTCATGACTCGGTTAGCGTTCACGACTCGGTTAGCCTTCACGACTCGGTTAGCCTTCACGACTCGGTTAGCCTTCATGACTCGGTTAGCCTTCACGACTCGGTTAGCGTTCACGACTCGGTTAGCCTTCATGACTCGGTTAGCGTTCACGACTCGGTTAGCGTTCACGACTCGGTTAGCCTTCACGACTCGGTTAGCGTTCACGACTCGGTTAGCGTTCACGACTCGGTTAGCCTTCATGACTCGGTTAGCCTTCACGACTCGGTTAGCCTTCACGACTCGGTTAGCGTTCACGACTCGGTTAGCGTTCACGACTCGGTTAGCCTTCACGACTCGGTTAGCGTTCACGACTCGGTTAGCGTTCACGACTCGGTTAGCGTTCACGACTCGGTTAGCCTTCACGACTCGGTTAGCGTTCACGACTCGGTTAGCCTTCACGACTCGGTTAGCGTTCACGACTCGGTTAGCCTTCACGACTCGGTTAGCGTTCACGGTTAGCCGTCATGACTCTCAGCCGGGTTGGGAATGAAACGTTCCCCCTCAGACTCTCTGAGGGAACAGAACCGTAACTTTGACGGAGTTTTTCATCATCGCTTCTTAAATTAGCTCGTCAATTTAAAAACAAAAAACCTTTATCTGTCTCTGTTTGTTGATTTTTGCCTGTCAGTTTTCATCGTCTCCAGATTTCTTACATGTTGCTTTTTAAAAGCTGTTGCTAGATTTGTTGCTCGTCAGCTTTTTCAAGTTGCTAGATTCTTTAATCGATTTTTGAAAGGAGGATCATAAACAGGAAATCTGTTGGAACAAAAACTGAATTTTTAAAGAGTGTCTGGATGTTTTTTAACACCAAACCTTTTTCTAGTTTTGCTGCCGTTCGCTTCAGTTTGGTTTAAGTCAAAATATTTGTTGAACTCCAGTCAGTGAAGCAGCAGCACCACCTGCTGGCGGTGACTGGAACATCCGTAGGAACATCGGTTTTCTGAACCGACTGGTTCTCCTGGGGTCAGAGGTCATGAGCGGCCCCCCTCGTTGTCTCCTGTCAGGTGTGTTTGTGTCACATGACCTACCTGATGATGTTTTGTATCTGCTGACCTCAGCTCGGCCTTCGGCTCGCGCTTGGCCAGCTCCCTCGGAGATCTCTACACCGCCGGCGCCGAGGAGGACGAGAAGACTCCCTTCTCCTCTTTCCCTCCCTCCTCTTCCTCCTCTGTCTCTGTAAGCCCCGCCCCCTCGCCCCCTTCGCCCAGCTACAGCGGCGGGCCTCGCGGCGCGCAGCACGAGGTCAACAACAACAGTACCTTATATGGCGTTTCCACGGCGCCCCCTGCGGTCAAGAGTTATATGAGGCCACAGCATCAGGACGTCAGTGCCTTCAGGGGCCACGGGCCCTCCAGCGCCATGAAGGGCCCCTCAGGACGTTACCTGAGCCGCTCCATACCTGTAAGTCCTCCGACACAGCAGCAGCTTTGCCCCGCCCCTTTGCTCTGATTGGTTGTTTCTGCTGTGGCTTCCCAACTCTTCTGTCCGTGTGATTGGTCCGTTCCGATCACATGACGACGCGTTCCCATGCTGCAGCATCTGGAGATCCACCCATCAGGTTCAAAATCAATAAAAAGCAGATCAAACTTTAAAAAAGATGCTTTGATGCATAAATTGGGTAATCATAATTTATTAATTGTTAACTGAAAGAAAAACTCACTCAAAGCTGTAATTGAGCCAAAACTGTTTAAAAATATTAATATTAATCAAGATGAAAAATATTGTTTAGAAATATTTTCTACCCAGAATTGAAGCTGCATTTTGATCTCCTGCTTCAGATCCTGTTAAATAAAGAAAAATCTCCTATTTCAACACATTAAACATTCATTTGTTAATAACAAAATATCCCAACTCCAAGCAGAAAGAACTGAACTTTTCACCTGCAATCGTTAGAAATATTTATTTAGCAAAGATTCATCCTTTGATACAAATGATGAGATAAATAACAAAATGTTATTATGTAAGAGGAATGCTAAACTTTAATTGCATTGGACGCAAAACTAAAAGCTGCAGCACAAATCAACACAGAATAAACCTCGACATTTAGGCACAAAACGCAGCATAAAATGTTAATCTGGTAAAAAAAAATAAAACTTTGTTGTTTTCATTGGAAACAATGAAATTTTTTTAAAATCAACATTATCGAATATTTTGTTGATATTTTGCAGTCTGACCAGAAACTATTGAAACGAATTTATCAAGTGAAAAGTTTCTGATCATAAGAATTCAGATTGAATGTAAAAACGACAAATATAAAATGATTTATGTGTGAGAACAGCAGAAACTGGGAGCTGCATGATAAACGATCTGATCCTCATGAAGCTGCAGGCGGCGGGAACGCCTCGCCGCTCTGACTCGCCGCTCTGACTCGTCTGCTTTGACTCGTCTGCTCTGACTCGTCGCTCTGACTCGCCGCTCTGACTCGTCTGCTCTGACTCGTCTGCTCTGACTCGTCTGCTCTGACTCGTCGCTCTGACTCGTCGCTCTGACTCGTCTGCTCTGACTCGCCGCTCTGACTCGTCTGCTCTGACTCGCCGCTCTGACTCGTCTGCTCTGACTCGCCGCTCTGACTCGTCTGCTCTGACTCGCCGCTCTGACTCGTCTGCTCTGACTCGTCTGCTCTGACTCGTCGCTCTGACTCGCCGCTCTGACTCGTCTGCTCTGACTCGTCTGCTCTGACTCGTCTGCTCTGACTCGCCGCTCTGACTCGCCGCTCTGACTCGCCGCTCTGACTCGCCGCTCTGACTCGTCTGCTCTGACTCGTCTCTGACTCGTCTGCTCTGACTCGCCGCTGACTCGCCGCTCTGACTCGCCGCTCTGACTCGTCTGCTCTGACTCGCCGCTCTGACTCGTCTGCTCTGACTCGTCTGCTCTGACTCGTCGCTCTGACTCGTCGCTCTGACTCGCCGCTCTGACTCGTCGCTCTGACTCGCCGCTCTGACTCGTCTGCTCTGACTCGTCTGCTGAATGTTTGTTTTTTGTCCCACGTCGTTTCTGTTTCCTGTGATGTTTGGTCTCTGAAATCCTTCCAGCTCTTCTCTAAGCGTGTTGATCAGGGGAGCCGAGGGTTTTCTCTGCATCGGGAAACTTTAGCTTCCCTAACGGCCAGAGCTGCTGCTGAGACGAGGAAACGCTTCCACAAAGTCTGAGGCTGAGCAATGAGGCACCACATGTAAGAGCATAAAGAGATAAATGTCTGAAAGCATCAAACCATCCAACAATAAAACCAGAAGTTAGAAAAAAGACAAAACATCATGATGATGTCATTGCTTTGGAAACTTCTGATTGGTTAAAATAAAAGTTGCATTTAGAAATGTGACAGTCAGCAGCGATAATATTCAGATTATTCAGTCTTCATGTAACTTTATAACCAAAATAAACTCAGTGATTATTAAGCTTACAAATCGCCACATTCCCATGGAAACTCTAATTAACAGAGACACTTTGAATGCACCACAGTGCCTCCTGTGACCCGATGGAGTTTTTATTACCTTCTATTTTTGTGTTTTAGAAGCACCTGGACCCGTTGCTGAAATGTTCCTCATAAACTTGATTACATCTGACCGATACTGAAAACATTAATATTATCTTCTGAATTCAGAAAAAGTTTAAAAACTGTCTCTAAAAAATGTTCTCACTAATTTTTCTGGCATTTAGCAAATTTTATGTAAACTTCTGGTTTGGTCTGTAAGAAGTTTCCGAACATAAAACCAAAAATCACCAGCAGGCCTCAGTCGTTCCAGGAAAGTGGAAGGAAAAGCTCCTCATCCTGATCAGATCTCGGTTTGTTTGTCGTCCAGAAGGTTTTCTTATCTTCACACGCAGCCGTAGGAATCCTTTCCTCCAGGAGTCCAAACCGAAAGCAAAACGTACCAAATACATCCTGATGAGAAAACGCTCGCTGGGATTGTTGCTGTAATTGGGTTCACAGAAACCGGCTGGAGGAGGAAGACGAGGAATTCCCCTTTTCCGTTCTGGGAACAGAAACCTCAGGAATCCTCAAACAGAAGTTTAATCAGGAATGTTTCTGTTTTCTACTGAACTCATGTTGAACATCCAGTCCACTTTTCGCTCCCTGATTTTGTAATTAAAGGAATTATTGATCAGTGAGCCGATACATCCGCTCTACGCTGCATTGATCCTTCACTAAAATGATTAAGTGTTCACCAAGGGAAGGCTGTTAGAGGCTTGTTAGTTAATAAAATGTTTATTGTCTTATTTGAAAAGGAATTTAATTATTTTATTTTCATCTTTCTGTTAATAAAATTGTATAAACAAATTTTCAATAGTGAAATGAAAAGTCTGCAGATTTTTTTAATAATTAATTGATAATTTGTCACTGTAATCAATTACTAAATTAATTGCTGTTCAGCTCAGTGACGTTGCCTAGCAAGCTTGTGGTGACAGTGGACAGAAAAAACTCCTTTTTAACTTTAAAGCTGCAGTTTGTAACTTTTTACAGTTTGACAAAAAGAGGATTGTTGTTTTTATCAGTTTTACTTTTATATAATGTTCACATAGATTTTCTTCCTGAGCTGCTTTACATCTGAATCGACCAATCAAAGCCAGGAGGCGGGGCTTAGCGCTGTCAATCATGCTGCTAAACAACTTAGTTACAGGAATATTGTTTATTCTCTGTCATCAGTTGCTATGCTACCTAGCATTAGCATTCACAACAGGCTATGCTATCTGTAGCAGAGCGAAAGAGCCACATGTGGGTGATTTGCATACTAAGCCCCGCCTCCTGGCCCTGATTGGTTGTTTCCAGTGAGCACAGATTTTTCACAGATTATCTGTTTCGTTTTAAACTGCCATCTACAAATATGTGAAATATAGATTTTTATTAAGATTGCACACTGCAGCTTTAACTGAGGTGAACTGGATCAGAACCAGGCTCGGTAGGCCCGGTTCTGAAGTCAAACAGACTGAGTAATTTTTCAGTAAACTAAACTGAAAGTTTCCCGTTTGACTCAAAACTTTTCTGTTTTCTCCTCCAGTCTCTTCAGTCGGAATACATCCAGTACTAGAACCGGCGGCCCGGCCCGAGGCCTGACCTGAGGGTCCAGAACCGGGCCCTTCTCTGACTGCGCCAGCTTTGAATCGGGAACCCGAATAAACCGGCGAGAGCTGGACTCTGGACTCAGACTGTATGTGAGCGAAGCTGTGTGTAAATGTGACCCGGTCTGACAGAACCACTCGGGCTTCAAAGAGCTTTTGAAGGTTTGGGTTTTTTGGTTTTGATAAACGGGTCAGCTGATCGGCCCGTTGCCAAGGTTACAGTATTTACGTCCAGGTTTGGTGAAGACGGGACTCGGGCCTCAGAGAAGCTTTGAAAAACAGAAACTTTTCTCGCTAACGGACTGAAAGTAAAGACGGTTCTTTCTCAGGTTCAGATTTACGACACCAGCAACAAAAAAAGAAAAAAAGTTTTATCCGTTTTTGTTTTGACGCCTGGAAAATAATGAAATGAGCTGCAAGACTTTAACTAGGCTAAAATGTAGATTTAGTTGCCGTGGAGACGAGCAGAAGTGTAGTTCGAGTGTCGTTTTTACAGTCGGACTGATCGGTTTTACCAGCAGCTGCCTGTAGGGGGCGCTCAGCAGATCACATCACTGTTGTAATGTTTACTAATCGACTCGTATTAAAAATGTCACGTGTTGTTTTGTAAGCCGGAATCGTCCGAGCCCGTCCGTTTTCTCCCTCGGCTGAAGAAGTTCTGGATTCTTCCAGTAATCGGGTCCGAAGGCTCGGTTCCGACCCGTATCGCACCTCCAGCTGGGAGAGTTCGGACCGGAGCCGCAGTTTCAAACAGGCCCAAAGTGCCTTCAACACGTTATCATGAAGAAGAGACTTTTATTGTGGCGGTCCCCAACAGGAAGTTGTGTGGCTGCTTTTTAACCATGAATGTTTTTTCATCTGTATTTATGTCACTGAGACGTTAAAGTCAGAAAATAATGTTTTATCTCAACGGAACGAAGAGTTCTACATGAATAAAAACAGGAAACACAACCATTCATTTTCTCTTTATTTGACTCAAAGTTTCTATTTTAATAAGAACGAAAAACAGAATAATTATATTCACGTTTGTGTCAAACAGTTTCTTTATGAAACAGGAAGTAGAATAAATAATTTTCAGTTTATTGGAGTTTTAAATCATTTTGCTCTGGTCGGATCCATCTGCACTAAATTCGGCGTTTTTCTATAAATCTGATGAGAAATGAACTGAGGATTCTGGAAAATGGAGTTTGTGCAGGAAAAGAATAAAACCTCAGTGGAAAGTAACAAGTTACATTTAATTACTGTAATTAAGTACAAAAACTCAGAAGTTTGTTTTTTAATTTGTTTGCAAAACCTGAACTTTTACTTTTACTTGATTTTGTTTTGATTGAAGCATTTTGTTCACTTTTTAAGTCATTTTTGATTACGACTAAAAACTAATAAAGAAAATATTTTTTTAAAAACTAAACAAAAAAAAGTCATTTATTTTGGATTTTTATTTATAAAGGGTTTGATTTAATTTAACAGTCGTTTTTAAGTTGTCTTCTTCTGCTCAAAGTAACTTTTAAAGTAAAATTTACCACAGTAACATTTCACAGTGATTACTTTAGTTTAAGTTTTAAACTCTTTTGACCTCTGAACTTTGAGTTGAATCTGATCACATGATGCTGATCGATAAATCGTCTCTCAGTTTATCATCTGAAAAGCCATTTTATTTTTAAAATTGTCAAACTTTTACAGCAGAGTTTCTAAATGTGTCAACAATAAAAAGAAAATCTGATTTTCTTTTCATAAAGTTAAAATTATCCATTAATTTTATTAACGTTTGTTGCGATTAAGTGGAAATAAAAAATTTGGAAAGTAAAATAAATTTTATTTTTAACTGGTTGGAAATGTTTACATGTATTTTAAATAAAACTTCAATAAATAAATAAAATCTATTCATGGTTCAAAAATGATGCAATAATTATTTTGTGTCACAATAAAGTTGATTCTGATTCAAATCCTGTTTTTATTTGAATAAAATGACATTTAATTATTTACTTTGTGAATTATTGAAACAGTTTAATATTTTAATGCATTTTATTTTAATAAGCTCTCTACAGCAGAGAATACAAGTAATCAAAATATTTATTTCATGACTTGTTAATTAATGGAATTGTCTCTGAATCATTTGATCTAATTTCCTCTGATAAACTAACTTTAAATGTTTTATTGTTTAGATGGAAACAGGTTTAATTGGAGTTGTTGGTGATTGCTAAAGCTTATTGATTTGAATAAAATGACATTTAGTTTTGTATTTTCAGAATGATTAAAACAGTTCAATTGCAGATTAATGCATTTATTCCCAGTTAAATTTGATGTCTTTGCAATACAACAAAATGACCAAACAGCAACAAGTAATTAAAACACCTCATCTGAAAATGTTTAATTACTGATTAATTCACTGGATTGTCTCTTTTTGCCCTTTAAAATATTTAGTTTGATGTTTCATCTTTTGTCTCATTTAATCTTTTTTTTCCAATAAATTATCAGATCATTTAGATGTTTTGTTGCTTGGATGAGAAACAATCAGTTAATGTATTTTTTTACATATAAACTAACTGGTTTGGTATTTAAATGTTTTGTTGTGTAGATGAGAATCAGATTAAATTTGTGAAACTGAAGCTGCATTCAGGAACATAAACATTCAGAGTCCAGTCATAATGAAAGTGAAAGCCTGTTCTCCTTCTGGCCAGCAGAGGGCGCGGTGGCCTCCTGCATATAAATCTGTTCTCCTTTTGGCCAGCAGAGGGCGCGGTGGCCTCCTACTTATAAAGGCGGCCATCAGAAGGGGGCGTTTCTGCTTCATCTGGGCTGTGGGGGATTCATGTGTTGAGCTCATTTTCTGCTTCAGACTCAGAGTCAGGAGCACAAAGGAGACGCTGCTGCGCCATCCATCTGTCCATCCATCCGTTCATCCAACCATCCATCCATCCGTTCATCCAACCATCCATCCAACCATCCAGCAGGATGGACGGCTGCCTTCAGCTCCTCTCAGGTGAGATTCTGCTTCCTGTTTATGATCAGAAAACAGTTTTTTTCCCTTTCATTGAAGCGTCTCAGCTGCTCTGATTTCATTTGAATAATAAAAGCAAAGCGGGAGAATCTCTGATTAACATAAAAAAGGCTCCAAATGATTAAATTACTGCAAATATCAGTTTGTCTGAGACTTTGATCATCAGCCGATCAGCTGATAGGTTCACAATCAGCTGATTAATTCATCAAAATGTTGAAGATAATCTCTGATTTCTGTTAAATCAATCTAACTTAAGGCTGTTTTTATGATAATATTTAATAATCATGTTTTCTTCTCATTATTTGTCTGGTTTCTGAGCGTGAAAGCTGTGTTTTTCTGTCCGGATCCGGTTCGGTTCTGTTTGTTTTCAGTGTTTGTTTTCAGTGTTTGCTGCTGATTTAAGTTCAGCCGTTTGAAACTGGCTTGTTTGGCTTCAGGATTTAACTTGTGAAAACTGGGGAAATATTCAACTCCATCCAAGGTTTTAAATGACAAAAAACATCATTATTTCATTTATTCAGAGTAAAAACAGTCAAAACCAAAATGATCCTGTGTTCCTGTTTGCCACACATTGCTTCACACAAAGAAGTGATTTGGGTCTAAATGCTCACAGTAACTGCATTTTAAATTTATTGATATTTCTTGATGCTTTTATTGAACAAACAGTGGAGAAAATAGTAAAACTATCAATCCTCACAGTTTTGGGATTTTAAACATCATTAATTTGTATTTATGATCAAAACGACAACATTTCTTGTCATAAGAAATTTATCATAATTTGTTATCTTCATCCTGCTGCAGAAATGATTTTTTGTAGGTAAAGACGTTAAGTTGTTCATTTTAGCGCTGAAACTTTTCCCCCAATGCCTCCAGAACCAGAGCAATCACACTTCGGTTTTATCCCTCACTGCGTTCAGAGATTAAACATATAAACTTTAGAGGAAGTAAAGGATAAAAGGAGTCGTACTCTCAGCCATAAGTTGATATAGAAAAGAGAAAAGGAAGTTGAGTTGTTTTCTTTATTTCCCAGTAGAGAATCTGTCTGTTTGGCTGTTTGTTTTGTTCATCAGAGACAGAAACTGTTTCTGAAGGTTAAAGTCTGAACAGTTTGTGTCCAGGATGTGTGGGGTCTGCAGAAATGTTTTTAACACGAGAGCTGTGAAAGTCCTGCATGTGTTAAAAGGCCTGGCATGATTTATATCATGATGTCACTCAGAGCGCAGAAGGTTTTCATGCCTGGTTGTCCAGTTGGACTCGGTTCCACTGGATCCAAAACGTCTCTGTTTCCTGCGCTGCAGCATTTTCTGTTGCATTTGTTTTGCTTCTTTGTTTTGGAGTTTGAATCGTTAATATTTTTGCAAAAGCAACAACAGGCAGCACTTTCACACCTGTTGGGTTCGATTTATTCTTCTGGATATTCAAATCAATTCAGATCCAATTAAATGTGCTTCATTCATCTCAAAGGCATATGTCGTAACTCTTATCGTCAGCTTTGCTGTTGATTCTGTGGGAAGGAAGGATCTGCAGTAGCAGTCAGTCTCGCAGCCCATCTGAAGAGGCCTCTGACTGAAGATTGTTGCTATACGACAGCCTTGCGATCATCATGACATGCTAACAGCTAATGTTCCTCAGTGACCCATCCCGGATGACATCATCAGTCGTTAGCTTGCTCTGCTGATCCGTCTCCTTTGCTGTTGCAGCTTCTCTTGATCTTCCTCCTTCTCTCTCTCTTCGCGTTCGTTCAGGCTCCTTTTCAGCTCCTCTGGGTTTTGGGGTCATAGTTCAGGGATTATTTGAGCTTTTGAAATGCTAATCACCGGCCTCCTGTTGTAAAAAAACCCAAAAACACATTGTTTCCATGGTTACAAATCATAACAACTGTCCCAAAATAAAAAAAGAGTCAGAGCAAAAATCTCGTTGTAGCTGCTCAACATCCAGAACCAGACGGAATAAAGACTAGAAAAGGTTTTTATCCATTTATTCATAATGATTTTTTTATTTCTGTGTTTTTGCAGGATTAAAGATAAAAGTTATCAAAATAATTTTTCACAGATAAAATAAGACATTTTAATGTACTTTAAATGTACATTAAAATTTACAAACTGCTGCAGTTTTTACTCATCTGCTGATTTAAGAATCATCTGAATACTTTCTGTCTTATCGTTTTACTTTCATTTCTTCAGTTGAATTTTTGTGAAATCTGTTGTTCTGACCTTTTCTTCCTGGACCAAAATCCCTCTGGTTGTCTCGTGTTTCCGTTCATGTGGACAGGAGGAACACAGCCAGAGCACTAAGCTGCTGAGGCCACCTTTGGCATCATGATTATCCTTATTACTGTCAGGTTAAAGAGGCCCCTGCTGGCCCCCTGCTGCCCCCTGCTGGCCCCTCAGTCATCCACCATACTTCTGTTCTGCTTAATTTGTTTCAGTTTCTTTGGTTAAATCTGTGTGAAATCCCCCAAAATAAAACAGTTTGACCAACTAGGATCTTAGTTTCTCTGTCCCTTCAGGCTTTAAATCAGCGGTGTCCAAAGTGCGGCTCGAGGGCCTCTTCTGGCCCTTGGGCTGATGTGTTGCGGCCCGGTGGATACAGACGGAGATTTTTATATTTGTAATCAGTGTAAAATTATGTTATTATCTTTTGTACAACACAAAGTCTTTTATAATAAGTAGAACCAACTAAATCCATTTACTAAACTCTGCTGGAGCCGTTACCTAGCAAACCAGCATGTTTGGTGAGCTGGTTGTACTGCTGGAAGAACTGTACATCGACTGCTGGAAAAGAAATAATTTTGTTGTTGACTTACCATCCAGAAACTACTTGCTGTTGTACAGGAGGCTCCACTTCTGCTTTTCAAACTTGTACAGTTGTATAGTTGTCCGTCTGTTTTCAGTTTAAGAATGATATTGTGAAACTGTAATATTCCTGATTTGCTGTTTGGCTCTGCAGTCGTGCTGCTGATGTCATCGTGGTGCGTTCAGGGCCTCCGGGTCAGCCTGTCACCCAGGCGGCCTCTGCTCCGGCTCGGCTCCCACCAGCACATGGTCTGCCAGGTCCACGGCTGTCCCACAGAACCGAGCATTTCCTGGGCCACCGTCAACGACCGGCCTCTGGGGGCGTCCGTCAGCGCCAACAGAACCCACTCCACTCTGACCTTTGACCCCGTTAAGATGGAAGACGAAGGGCAGCTGGCGTGTAAGGCCAGGTGTGGAGATGATCGGGTGGAGAGCCGAGCCTCCGTCAGCGTTTACTGTGAGTCTCCGACCCGAGGCGAGTTCGGCCCGGCCGGGTAGCTGTTCCTGACGCGTCTCGTTCTCCGGTTCCAGCGTTCCCATCGGACCCCGAGATTGCCGGGCAGGACCGCCTCAGTGACCGCGTGGAGGCGACCCTCACCTGCCGGGTGCCCAGCCTGTTCCCGGCCGGGGACCTGAACCTCACCTGGGTCCGAGGAGACACGGTTCTGAAGAGCACCAGGGGCTCTGGGTCCAGCTCCATCCAGTTCCTGCCCCTCAGGGAGGATTCAGGAGAAAACATCACCTGCCGGGCGACGCTGGAGCTGCCGGGTCTGCCGCCGGGCCAGAGGACCAGAGAGACCACCGCCACCCTGAATGTCCGCTGTGAGTCAGAACTTTACTAAGCGGGTCAGAACCGTCCGAGCTCCACTCTGGGTGGAGAGTTGATCCTCTGAAATGAATTTCATCTCTTCCTCCTCTGCAGACGCTCCGGGCCTCATGAACATCTCCGACCCGGTGGCGCTGATGTCTGGCTCTCCGCTGACTCTCAGCTGTTCTGCTGAGGGAAACCCCGAGCCGACCATCACCTGGACGGCAGGCGGTCGCCGTCTGCCCGGAGGTCGCGGAGGTCAGCTCGTCCTATCGGCGGTGAAGCTTTCCGACGCCGGACGGTACGAGTGTGAAGCCAGAAACTCAGAAGGAAACCAAACTGCAGCTGTAAACGTCACAGTTTTAGGTAAGAGTTTCGTCTGCAGCCGCGTTGCAGCGTGATGTCATGCGTTGCCCCGAACTACTAAAGCGACATCATCAGGGGTCAGCTAGTCGGCGGTTCCACTGCAGGACGGCAAGAATCACCTTTTTGCCCTCCAGCAGGCGTCACATTTCCAGATGTGAACAATGACACGCTATAGTCTTCTTTTGTAGTCCTCATCGTCTTCTTCCTGTTTTCTCGCTTAGCTCCGCCCACTAGCACCTCCCTCTCAGTGGAGCCAGGTGAGGAGGTGGTGGAGGGCCAGCAGGTGAATTTCACCTGCAGCTCTGTGGGAGCTCCGCCTCCCAGCCTGGTTCTGAGGAGAAAAGGGGAGGAGCTTCTGAGGACTGACTCCACCCCCCTGCTCAGCTTCAGCCTTCCCTCCGCGTCACTGGAAGACTCCGCCCACTACGAGTGTGAAGCCTCCAACCAGTATGGCTCCCAGCAGGAGTCCAGGTCCATCACTGTGAGCGGTACGTCTCAGCTGACCGACCGGATCGTGATCCAGTAGGATCCCACTGGGTCCTGCTAGGTTCTGCTGGATCCTGCTGGGTCCCACTGGATCCTGCCGGGTCCCACTGGGTCTCGTTGGACCTGGACTCACTCTGTCCGTCCGTCTCTCCTCAGCTCACCCGCTGCAACTCTACTCCAGTCCTCAGGTGTCAGCGGAGCGCGGCTCGGCTCTGATCCTCACCTGCAACGCCTCTGGCTGCCTCCATCCGCCCACCTTCAGCTGGAGGAGGACGGACCGGAACCGGACCCTCCTCCAGAGGACGAAGCCGCAGGACGGCCAGTCCCACCTCCACCTGCTGAACCTTGACCTCCGGCACCAGGGAGGCTACAGCTGTGAGGCCGAGTGCGACTCGGTCACCAGGACCAGAGAAATCCACGTCCAGGTTTACTGTGAGTCCGACCCGCATGTTTCAGCCGCCCAGCTGATGAATGTAGAGGAAGTCCTACTTCACTGTTTGATGCACACTGGTAGAGCTGTCGCTAAAGCTAATAGCACAATCATAGACATTAGTTCTGCTGATGCTAAACTCGCTGTAGCAGCGCAGTATTCATTGGAAGCTAATGCTGATGCGTAAAGCTTAAACACTAGTTCAGATAAAGCATCAACAGTTAGCAGAAGCTAATGTTAAAGCACTAATTAGAAACACTAGTTCTGCTAATGCTAAGGCACTATGCTAACATAGTAGCTAATAGAAGCTAATGCTAAACCCAAACCTCATTCGGTCAAATTAAAGTTCAGTTTAGCTGGAAATCTTAAATCGAGTGAAGCTCAGTGCACCAATCAGTTTCAGAGTTAACTGAAGCGCTAAACATAAAATTAGCTTCACTATTGATGCATTAGCATCCACCCCTGGTCCACAGCCTGATGCTGCTACCGCCCTCACACATTGCTTCACACATTTCAACTTTTCCAGAGGTTTTATTTAGAGAAGCGCTCTGGGTTCGAATCCTAATCTCATGTATCACAAATAAAATCATTTGTTTCATTTGTGATAAAATAAATGAGTAAAAGCTTAACTTACTGTCATGTTCATGCTGATAGTTGGATATAAGCGTTACTGATTGGCAGTAATAAACTCCCCAGATGATGATGGTAATATTTGCAGGCGTCTGGGTATCAGCAGTGGGAGTTTGGCTTCCTGCCTGCTGAGGTTAAGAAGGAAACAGAACCGACTCATAAATCATAAATTTGTTGTTTTTCTCTGGAACAAACTGTTAAAAGCTGAGAGGAAATCATTCCAGCATCAATCTGCAGGATGAGTTTCATTCTGACACGCTGCTGCAGCTCAACCTGCCGGGACGCGTTCAGGCCGCCGCTCAAGGTCGAAGGTCGGAAAGTTTTACATTGTTGATTTAGTCCCAGAGAGAACAGCAGCGTTTCCTGACGCAGGCCGTTAACATCTCCTACTGTTGGCTTTTAAGACCCGGCAGAACCAAAGGGGAGATCCGGTTTCTGGAAACACAAGAGATTAAAGTTTCACTGGAAGCAGCTGGTTGTTCATATTAAAGCTGGAAACTGAAGGAGAGATGAACAGAAAGAGACCCAATGCAGCTGCTCAGGGTGAGAAAAGTTCATTTTCTGAACGGTTCTGACTGACGGGACGCGACCCGACAAACAGAACCAACCGGCCCACACACACTGCAACCTGTCAGCAAGACTCGGCTGAACGGCTCATCCGGCCGCGGGCTGGAATCCCCCGATGGTTTCCAGAAACACGGGAACAAAAACCAAAAGCAAAGGTTTCAGAAGTTTAGATTAAAAACAAAAAGGGGAAAAATAATCAGGAAGTCATTTAGTAGCAAAATGGCAACTAATTGTAATTAATTGATCATCAAAATAATTGTTGAGGACTTTACTAATCGATTAATTAACTTCTAAAAAAAAGGTCATTTAAAAAAAACACATTCAGAGAGAAAAAGCAAAACTTTACAGAAAAATATAAATAATTTGCATTTAGAATAAAAAAACTAATCTGTCAATATTTTCATCTAGTAATTCTGGCAAAGCGTTCATATCGAATGAGTAACGAATATTTAACAGAACATTTCAAAAATAACCAGCTTAAGGAGGATTATGGAGCCGTAATCTGACATAAACTACATGAGCAGGAAGAAAAAAATCACTTCATATCAGTTCAAAAAGCTGAGAAATAGATTCATAAGATAAAAACCGTTATAATTTCACTATGTTTAAACTCACAATACACTTCCAGTTAATTTGAGTTTTCCAGATTAAAATAAGGAATTTTATTGTTTTTCTGGCAATAAAATGTTTATGTTCTTATTATTAAATTGTTTATTTCTGTCTTTTAATGTTTTTCTAACATTGTATAAAAAGGTCAAAGGTCGATAGACTTGCAGATTAAATAAATGAGCAGCTGGATGTTGAGTTCCTCTTCCTGGTTTCTCTCCAGCGTTCCCATCTGACCCAGTTCTGGAGGATCCCGGTCCGGTCCAGCTGGGCCAGCAGGTCCAGCTGCGCTGTGATGTCACCGACATCTTCTCGGCCAATCAGCTGCGGTTCCGCTGGCTGTCGGGGAACCGGACCGTCATGGCGGAGACGCACAGGTTCTCCGGCTCCCTGCAGAACGTGTCGTCCGTCCTGCAGCTGAGGGCGGAGGAGGCGGCGCGGGTCGTGACCTGCAGCGTGGAGCTGCTGACGGCGGACCGAGGCGTCTGGAGGTCCAGAGGAACCAGCGTCCCGCTGCAGATCCACTGTGAGTCGTTTCAGGGAATCCAGGCTCAACCGATCAATCGATTCAAATACTTTAGTATTCGATTCATCGCTAACTGGAGAATACAAAGTTGTTTTGAAAAAAATTAATAATTAAGCTAAAACTGCAAAACGTAAAATCTTAAAGCTGCAGTTTGAGCTTTTAAAGAATATTTGTTTCCATATTTGTGAAGATGTCACCATATTCTGAAAAAACTGAACTCCAAACAGCCAATCAGAGCCAGGAGGCGGGGCTTAGTGCTGACATTCACCTCTCCTTGTGACTAGCCTAGCCTGTAGTGAATGCTAGGCTAGTTAGCTTTAGGCTAGTTAGCTTAGCCATCGATGATGGTGGATAAACAGTTTTCCTGGAACGGTGAGAGTTGCTTTTCCACCATTAGCAAATTATATATACAGAGACATGTCCCTCTGTCCCTCTCTCTCTGTCTCTCTCTGTGTGTGTCCCTCTGTCTCTCTCTCTGTCCCTCTCTCTGTCTCTGTCCCTCTCTCTCTCTGTGTCTCTCTGTCTCTCTCTCTCTGTGTCCCTCTGTCTCTCTCTGTCCCTCTCTCTGTCTCTGTCCCTCTCTCTCTCTGTGTCTCTCTCTCTGTCTCTCTCTCTCTCTCTCTGTCCCTCTCTCTCTCTGTCTCTCTCTCTCTCTGTGTCCCTCTGTCTCTCTCTCTCTCTGTGTCCCTCTGTCTCTCTCTCTCTCTCTCTGTCCCTCTCTCTCTCTGTGTCCCTCTGTCTCTCTCTCTCTCTGTCCCTCTCTCTGTCTCTGTCCCTCTCTCTCTCTGTCTCTCTCTCTCTCTGTCCCTCTCTCTCTCTCTCTCTCTCTCTCTGTGTCCCTCTGTCTCTCTCTCTCTCTCTCTCTCTCTCTCTCTGTCTCTCTCTCTCTGTGTCCCTCTGTCTCTCTCTCTGTCCCTCTCTCTCTCTGTCTCTGTGTCCCTCTGTCTCTCTCTCTCTGTCCCTCTCTCTGTCTCTGTCCCTCTCTCTCTCTGTGTCTCTCTCTCTCTGTGTCCCTCTGTCTCTCTCTCTGTGTGTCCCTCTGTCTCTCTCTCTGTCTCTCTCTCTCTGTGTCCCTCTGTCTCTCTCTCTGTGTGTCCCTCTGTCTCTCTCTCTCTGTCTCTCCATCAGTTGCTGCATTTTTACGGTGACATATTGATGGTGCTATAAAATGGCGCTATGTGATTGAAAACATAACTCTGCTGCTTTATATCTAAAAACTGAAATAAAATGCAGTTCTTTATAATGATCCTTTTCCTGAAGGAGACATTTGTCAAAACAATTTTACGTTGTTTTTTTAAGAGGTTTTCTAACGTTTGTAGCTCTAAGCGGATCTTATTTAACAACTGTCCCTTTAAGATGATCTTTTTTCTGACCCAGATCCTCCCAGGTCGACCGTTCTGTCCGTCTGTCCAGGTGAGGAGGTGCTGGAGGGCCAGCAGGTGACGCTGACCTGCCGCTCGGACGGAGCTCCGCCCCCCGCCGTGGTGCTGAGGCGGAATGGGGAGGAGCTTCTGAGGAGCGACGCCAACTCCTCTTCCTCGCTCTCCCTCCGCATCTCCTCCACCCTTCTGGAGGAGTCGGGCCTCTACCAGTGTGAAGCCTCCAACCAGTATGGCTCCCAGTTGGTCTCCAACTTCATCACTGTCAAAGGTCAGAATCCACATTCATGCTAACCTGCTAATAGCAGCTAATTAGCACTGAAACATTAAAACATTTAGAACATCTTAATAAAGCTACAGAGTTAGCAAAAGTCAACAAACTGAAACCGTGAAGGAAACTTCGGTCCAAAAGAATCACGTCAAACAGTCCAGGAAGGCCTGCAGGAACAACTTCACTCTGTTCAGGGCGCTATCCTCCCTGAAGCACGTTGGATGTTTACAGGATTTAGCACTTTAGCGTTAGCTTCTGCTAATTACCATGTAGCATTAGCAGAACTAATATTTATGATCTGTGCTTTCGGATTAGCGCAGCTAATTTTCCTCAGACTGCAGATCTCTGCAGACTTTCTCCCATCCAGTTCTCTGTTCTTCTGTTTCTTCTCCGTTCTGACGGTTTTGTTCAGGAAGTCGACCTCTGGCTTCTTTCCACAAAATGTTTGGACAGAAATAGATTCTGACTCCAGTCCTGAGTCACGAAACTCTTGAGCCGTCAGCCTGGCTGATCCTTCTGGTGTCAGTTTGATCTAAAGCCCCAGAGGAAAAGAAACGTCCAGAAACGTAAAACATCCAAACCGTGATGAGCAAAACAAATCCTGACCTCCTAAACTTTACATTAATGTCACTGACGTATTTTCTGCCTGTTTTTGTTTCTTTGTTTAAATGCAAAGGTTAAAGGTTGATGTGTTTTCACTGTGGATTGGACAGAAATATTTGCTCTTTTAAAATAAATAAACTGGAGATCATTTTCATTTCAGATGTTCTGAGGTTGTGATTCAGTAGAAATCCTGTCATAAAGATCTTCCAAGAAATGAGCAGAGACCAGCTGGACCCCAGGCTGATGACAGGTTGTCCGCTATCAGGTGATGATGTGCTGGTTTAAAGGTCAGCCGGCAGGTCAAGAGGCCTTGTCTGAAACGCTTTGACCTGCTGCTGACATTCTGGACCCGTCAGCAGAAACGCTGCTGGAAGACATTTCTGAGAAGCTCTTTGTCCAAAATGCTTCATGTTTGGACAAGGCGACCGGCGCTCCGCTTCCTGACTGTTTCGGTCAGAACCTCCTTAAAGTGTTGGGATTAGTCACAGCGCCGCCTCCGCTCTCGCTTCAGAGATTTATCACAGTTAATGTCAGCGCGCCGACAGACGGCCGGAGAGGATGAATCACCGCAGCAGCACAGATTTCATAACAGCTTCCTCACAGCAGGAGACTTTTAACATGTTAATGTTTCTCACATGCTGCAGAAAACTTTTCAATGTCAGTTTTCAGAAACAAACACCGACATGACACTCCTGGTTACCTGGCCACCCTCCTACCTGGTGGCCAGGTAACCAGGTGGGAAGGTGATTAACTACTTACCTGTGTCCGTATGTTGGACGTCTTCTCGTTGGCTTTGTCTCAGCTCAGTAAAAGGTTTGTGCTTTCTTTACGCTGAATGGTGAAACAGATCGCTGCATCATCAGCGTGTCGGTGAACAGAGGAAGCAGAAAGGAGACGGGCTGGGATTGGACCCTACACTGTAACACCTCCGTTCTGCTTTCGTTCAGCTCCCCCAAGGAACACTACCGTCCACATCTTTCCTTCTACGGAAGTCCAAGAGGGCCAAAATGTGACGGTGTGCTGCCAAAGCATCAGCTTCCCTCCACCGGCGGTGATCCTGAAGAAGCTGAGCAACGGGACGGAGCTGTTCTCCACCAGCGGCATCTTCCAGTTGGTCAACGTCACTTCCAGCGACTCGGGCTTGTACCAGGTCAACGTCAGCAACGACCTGGGCTCCGAGGTCAGAGTCTTCAGCATCAGAGTCAGAGGTCAGTAGAATTAGCAGCTCACCAAACGAAAGTCTTGGTCGCATTTCATTTGGTTTTTGATGTTGTTTCTCTTGTAGAGGTCAGAACGGGATTTCCTCCCGGTTTGAGCATCATCCTCGTCTCGGCCGCCGGCGTCGCCGCCGGGCTGACGGCCTCCGCTCTGATCCTCGACTACATGAGGAGATCCAGGAAGAAAGGCTTCTACCAGCTGCCGCAGTCCGCGCCGCCGTCAGCGTGAAGCCAGCAGTGAGCTAACAGACTCTAAAACTTGGCTGCTTCTCCTTCGGGACATCCTGATTCCTGGTGTCTGACAGCAGCAGGAATCAGGAGGCGGGGCTTTGATCCGACAGATGGCTGGCTGAAGATGTGAGGAGGCGATCTCTGACGCTTTTCTGATTTCCTGCATAACGCCGTCATGTGGCTGAAGCTAATCGCCCTTGGATTCAAGCTTTCTCCAGAGCTCCTGCTTTTCCCAGCATGCTTTGCTCCAGCGCTGGAGTTTCTGTTTTTAGTCACATTGAAATGTTTGGGATAATCAAAGTTAACATAGATAAGAAGAGAAAACTGTTTGGTAAGTTTATTTATTAAGGTCAACAGATCAGCCTGGATTTTTGTTAAAAAGTGTTTAACTCTGTAAAATCAAAAGTCATTTGAGTAAATATCATCTGTTAGCTAAGACGTTAGCTGTGCAGGCCTGGAAGCTCTAATCATTAGCCTAGTGCCTCTGATGCTAACGCGCTACACCAGCCTGGTGTTTAGAAGCTAAAGCTAAAGCTAACAGACCGGATGTGAAAGCCTGAAACGCGTCGCTGCCTTTTCTACCTCATCTTCCTTTGCACTTGTCACGAGCCCAGCGGTCACCATGGAAACGTAAATACTTGTTGCACATCTGGAAAGGCAGCTGTTGATGCTCCAGATCATGTTTCAGCTGTTTGGTACCGATGCAGCTCCTGGTTCTGCTGACTCAGCTCCTCTCCTTGTTTTTAATAGATATTTATTTCCTGTCTCTTCCTCTGACTCTCGATGCGACTTCATCCTCTGGCGTCTTGGGGTTCGTACTTCCTGGGAACTTCCTGGGATTTTCCCTCAGCTTTTACTTTTGCAGTTTTCTGGAAACGTGCAGATTGTTTCCTGCGGGTTGTTTCCTGCGGTTGCCGTGGTGCCGGGGGAAAACAGCTTTTTGCTCTGGTTATTATTTGATGACACAATAAAAACTTCATCTCTGGATGAGCAGCAGTGGTTGGGCAGCAGTGGTTCTGCAGCAGTGGTTCTGAGTGCAGCCTGGACCCGGGTTGGTTCGGATCCAGATGGTTTCAAAGGAGCCGTTTTGTCTCCGCCGCTGATTGCCATGGAAACTGGGCTGCGAGGCGGGAAGTGGACCGGGACCGGTTCGGCTCAGACAGACGCGCCGCGGCGGTCCGTTTCGTCACCGGACCGCTGACCCCTCCGGTCGTGTGATGCCGTCTGCATGGCAACCAGGCCGGGCGGCGAGAAAGGAGGAGGAGCTGCAGGAGAGGCTTCATGTTTCTGGACCGGAACCAGGACGCGCCGTGCGGTACCAGCAGAACTATAAACATGAGACATAAAACAATGAATTGAAAACATCAGTTTTTGTAATTTTCTGCAGACGCTTTGATCGCCTCGTTATTTGTGTTTTATCAGTTTCTACCTGTGATGTTTGGTTTGTTGATATAAATGTCTATAAATGAACTGCAAACATCTGCTTGAATCACTTTTTTACCCCGATTTAAATTTATTCCTGCTTCTGATCATCCAAACTAAAATTTTCTGTATTTTTCTGTCACAGAAACATTTGACAGAAAATGGAAAACACAGGAAATGCATCTGTTAAAAGAACAAAACGTTCCTCCACATTTCTGTGCGACCTTTAACCTTTTTCACAGTGCACTGTAAAACCTGCAGGTCTGGAACAAACTGCAAAAGAATAACATCATTTCCATGGTTCTGCTGGGCTTTCAGCCTCCAGCCAGAGCAACAGCTGATGATGTCATCAGGCCTCTGGATGCTCATCTGTTGTGATCTAAATAAAATTCACAATAGGAATAAAATCTTCCACTACAAAAATATTCAAAGTTTTTGTAAAATCAAAGCTAATATTTTCCCAGAAGCAGCTTTGACAACAAACGGCTGCAGGAAGAAGCATTTCATCTCATGAAATGTTTACAGGAGAAACTTCTCAAACTCTCCGGAAGCTTTTAAAATCCGACTTTCAAACTTAAGTTTCCCGAACAGACGCTTCTTTCGGATCTGCTGCAGCAAAACGTGTTGAACTCTGACTGACTTGTTGAACGACCCTGAAGGTCAAAGGTCAAAGATGCTCCATCCTGCAGAAATCTGCAGCTCTAAAGAGACAAAAAGCCTGATTAAAATCTGCAGGCAAAGATTCTTCAGGTCAGGGAAGCAAATGTCTCCGTCTTCACTGTGCAGCAGGAAATACCAGCAGGAGATTAAAACGATGAGACGCAGCAGAATGCCTCCGCACGCAGGGTCAAAGGTCGCAGCGACACGTCGGGGTAGCGAGCGCCACGCTGTGGAAAAACACCAGATGGAGCAAAAAGAAACATCCATTATGATGATTCTGCTGAATCTGCAGAAAGCAGCGCAGCAGAGTCGGAGAGAGTCTGCAGGCCAAGGTCAGAGGTCAACTACAGTTTTTATATAACTACGTGAATCTCAACTCAGCAGGTTTGTAATCTGAGCACAAACTTCAATAAAACTGGAATGTTTTTTACATTTTTAGGGAAAATTGAATGCAGCTGCTGCAGAAACTCAGATTAGATTGAAAACAAGCCGACGGTCTGTTGTTTTAATAAGAACATCTCACTAAATGAGTTCATACTAAAAACATATTAGTACATTTAAAATAAGACAAAACAAACAAGTAACTTTTCAGCAAGAAATATGATCTTTATCTATTTATAAATGATTCCTAAATACTGAGGAAATACTTCTGGTTGGAAGTGAAACAATCTGCCGATGGAACAAAACATTTTAACTTATGTTATGGAAAATGTCTCATTATTTCACTTATAACTTTCCATCAATATCAAGGAATTATTGACTTAAACTCCTGTCTTGAACTAAAATATTCACTTTAGAAACTATACCAAAAACACTTTGTAGGTGTTTGTGCTTTTGCAGTGGAAAAAGGTAGATAAAGCTAATAGAAATGCACCATCAGATCAGATGTGGATGGATGCTGAATAAAATGAGAATCTGCTCCATATTTCAGTTTCTCCCTGAAAACCCGCTGGATGACTCAGCAGCGCCATCTGCCGGTCTTCTCATTTAAACCCTAAGAAGATTTATTTACTTTAAATCAAATGTCAGACAATCCGAGCTTCCTGATTGGCTCGCACTTCTGTCTCCTGTAAAACCTGTAAAAGTCTCAGAAACTTTATAGATAATTATAATAATAGTTCACATTTTTTCTAAATTGGTGAGAAATTATGGTTGAGATGCTCCTTCTCAGTGGAAACAAATAAATACCGGACATTAAGGCAAAACAGTTATAATTATCCAAAAATAAAGCTTTTTTAAAACGCAGTGGCTGATCATAATGTTAGTCAACATGTTTCTCTCTTTGGCCCACTAGAAGATTTTAAAAGGGGGAAGGCTCAAGCGCTTTTATTGTGAAACCTGTCCTCGCCGGAAGTTGACAGTTAGCATCTCAGCCAGTTTACGTTCCCAGTGAGCCTGTGGAGCGTCCAGGTGTAAAAATGTTACCTTTATCTATCAAGGATGATGAGTACAAACCGGCCAAGTTCAACCTGCTGCTCAAACTGTCCGGGTGGTTCAGGTAAGATGAGCACTGCTAGCAGCTAGCCGCTAGCCGTGGCTGTTAGCCGCAGGCTAACCGGTTAGCCTGAGCAGATGTGTTCCTCTCGCAGCTCAATCTGCTTCAAACTTGTTTTTATTCAGCTGTCAGGCTGCAGGCTGGCCGCTTTTCACCGCAGTTTGCGTGTTTGTGTCTGACTGTGTGGAGTTTTGAATCCCTGCCTCCTCGGTGGGTTTATTTGTTGTGACTGCTTGTTTGTTTCTGTTGCTTTTCAGGTCGATTTTAGCCGATAAAACCTCCAGGAATCTCTTCTTCTTTCTCTGCCTCAACCTCTCCTTCGCCTTTGTGGAGTTAACCTACGGCATCTGGAGTAACAGGTAGGCTAAAGCCCGAGCAGCATCTCTGTGTGGTTCTGTTCTCTGGATGTGCCACGTAAGTGTTAGCTGTGTGTGTGTGTGTGTGTGTGTTAGCAGTGTGTGTGTGTCCGTCATCTTTAATCTGAGACGCTGCAGTGACTCAAACTGCGCATGACAGCAGAAACTCTCCGGTCATCAGCTGTTAAATATCTTTATCTAATATTCTTTTAAAGGAAACGTTCGTCTCTAACTTTTTCCTCCATCCTGTCTGTTTTAAATCAAGACAAATAAAAATTTACATTTGCAGCTAAAAGTTAAACGTTAAGATGTGTTTGTAAATTTCCTGTGTTGTGTGCAATCACTTCCTGTTGGAGCTGAGCAAGCTCTGCACTGGTGGCCACGTTATTCTGCAGCGCTTTATCAAACAATACAGGATAATAAAATAAGTCCTAATATGGGTGGAAATATAAATACTCCTAACTCCACAGACTGAACTAATGAAAGTTGTTTCTATGTGTTTGACCAAGATTGTGAAGCTTAAATGCAGAGTTATAAAATAAATATACATTTATTCACAAAAAAAGCTTAAATTCAGCTGAACTTCAACAATCCAGAGACATTTATAGTTTTAGAAACTTGAAGCGTCAGAGAAGTTAAAACAAAAACAAATGGACAGAAAAATTACTGAAGTATTAAAATACATGAACAAATTACACAGGATGAGGATCAAAGAAAACAACTGAAATATGCAAGTTATAAATTCATGATCAAATATAGTAACATGGCGTTGAACCCCTTCACTGGTGTTACCCAAATTAAATCAGCTGCTGTTCTTGAACAATTTGGAGTTCATGCAAAAGTTTGGCCTCTTTATGAAGAAGACAAGCTACAGTTTGTATTCATGCAGACAGAAATACTTTCACTGTAAGTTGTTTGTAGTTATTACATTTGTAACACAAAAAAAATGCAGGCATGTCAAGATGAGCTCAAGTCGCTCTCTGGATATTATTGGCTTGGGAAAAGCCATTCAATATCATTATTGGTCAAATGAGGAACCAATCAAAAGGCTCCAGGCTGCCCAATAAAAGCAGGCAGAGGATTCAGACAACCTGGATTTGTCCCATGAATGGGATGCTGAAAATGTAAGGGCTAAATATTTATGATCAAATGTAAAATAATGGCAAAAACAGTCGAATCAAATAGACAAACACCATAAAAAAGATTAAAAATAACTAAAACAATTAAACCCAAGAAAGCCTTAAAAAGCCAGAGTGAATTAATCTCCTCTTCCTCGTTTTCTTCCTCCTCTTCCTCCGGGTCCAGTTTAGGTCTCATCTCAGATTCCTTCCACATGTTCTTTGACTGCACCGCCCTGCTGGCCGGCCTGGCAGCCTCCGTCATCTCCAGGTGGAGGTCCAACGACAGCTTCTCCTACGGGTAAGCCCCGCCCCCTGGCCCCGCCCCATGTCACCAGGCCCCACCCCTGGCCCCGCCCCCTGTCCCCAGGCCCCGCCCCCTGTCCCTAGGCCCCGCCCCCTGTTCCTGCTCCAGTCTGATCACTCTGCGTTGTTTCACTCCCAGCTACGTCAGAGCCGAGGTTCTGGCCGGCTTCGTCAACGGACTCTTCCTCATCTTCACCGCCTTCTTCATCTTCTCAGAAGGAGTGGAGGTGAGTGTGATGACATCATCGCAGGTCGCACACATGACCTTTCAACCTTTTGGTTTCGCCGGTATCGCTCAGTCTGGTTCTGGACGCTGCGCAGCTGAAACAAGTTTTACTCTTAATGTTAAACTGTGGCAACAAGGAGTCGATTGTAGAGCTTTGTGCCTCTGATTAAACTCAAACAATGAGCTTCAACAGCAAAATCCCAAAACAGGAAATGAATCGATCTAATGTGGAACCAGTAGAGCAGAACAGCGCCACCCAGTGGAGACAGTCCAGCCTTCAGCTGCTTGTTGTCTGTCTGTCAGAGAGCCTTGGAGCCGCCAGACGTTCACCATGAGCGGCTGCTTCCTGTTTCTGTGGCCGGCCTGCTGGTCAACCTGGTCGGGATCTTCGTCTTCCAGCACGGAGGACACGGACACTCGCACGGGGACGGAGGTAGTCCCACCTGGAGACCAGGCAAACCCGCCGCCAAGCGAACGAGTCGTTTTCCGAAAATCCTAAACCTGTCGCTCCGCAGGTCACGGACACAGCCACTCTCTGTTCAACGGCAGCCTGAGCCACGGACACGGAGGACACGGAGGACACGGACACAGCCATGATGGACACGGACACAGCCATGACAAACACAGAGATCATGGACACAGTCACGGGGGACACGGACACGGAGGACACGAGGACTGTCACAGTGAGACAAACGTCCGACTCCGTCAGTCGAGACGTTTTCAGAGAATCTGAACTTGTTGCTTTTTGTTCCTCAGATGAGCTTCAGCGTCCAGGAGACGGATCCAGCAAGCAGATCCTGCAGGGTGAGCACACACACACACACACACACACACACACACACACACACACACACACACACACACACACACACACACACACACACACACACACACACACACACACACACACACACACACACCAGCAGAAGCCTGTTAATCAGCTCTGATTCAATCCAGATGTGGCAGAAGAGAAAAACCTG